CTGACCTCGGGCCCTCTGGAGGTCCATCCTAGACCCGTGGTACCGAGCAGCTATGACAGAGATCTGCTGGGTAGCCTGCCATGGAACGAAGAAGTGTTAATCACAAAAATGGAAAACAAGAGTGAGGAAACCAAAGCAAAAATAAACTCACCACCAGGGAGTTCTGGATGATGGAGCGGAACAACACGTTGGTTGATCGCCCCCTATGAGCCTCCATGTCGGCCTTAAAGTGCAGTGTCTCACTCACTGCATTAGCGACATGAGGATCCGACAGAATAGAATCGTCGACCCTGATCACTCAGCTCATGTGATCAGTGGCTCGGGGATTCCACTCCGCGGCCTCCACCCGAGGCGGAACGGGAGGAGGGGTCTGCTGTTGTTGTTGTTGCTGCCGCTGCTGCTGCTGTTGTTGCTGCTGCGGCTGCTGTTGTTGTTGCTGTTGTCGGGGCTGTTGCTGTTGCGACTGCTGTTGCGAAGAAGCGGGAGGCAATCCACGACCCCTCCCGCTTTGCTGCTGAGCAGGAGGCGCCCTGGATCCTCGGCCAAGATCGTCATGCCGATGCTTGACCCTTCTTTCCTCCTCCACCTGAGGGTCCCGGTCTCGCACCTGACCTCGACCAGGAACCCTTGATGATGGGGGACAACTGGTCCCCGCTGAGGAGGTGCCGCCGGTCGTTCCTCGACCTCTCCCGGCTGCGAGGGCTTGCCTCTGCCTAAGGAACCCCAAATTAATGCGAGGGGCGTTAGACATCGCTTCCTCGAGAGCGTCTTCGGCGTCCAAAGACTGAAGGATCTGGAAGTCTGGCCACAAGTCTCCCCCGGGAGTCCCCACCTCGGCGTCTGAAGGAACAGCGTCCTCTCTGACCCCGACCTCTTCAGCAACTCCCTCGACCTCTCCCTCTGAAGCCCGATCCGGATCTTCCTCCAAGTTTTCCTCGACCTCTAGCCTCGCCGCCTGATCAAAGAGCTCTGACCACTGCGAAGGCTCGAAAGGTTGAGGAAGCTGTGAGAACTTCTTGTACCCGGGGGTATAGTGCAGCAGATTATGAGCAGCTCGGCCAAACCCGTCGGCGCCCGTGAAACTCCAAACCGTTACTAGGTCGGCAAAGTTGACCAGCGACCGAGGAGGTGGAGCTGTTTCCCGAGAAGGAATATCTGCACAACAAAAAAGATTGTCATAAACATGAGAAGTCCCAAGAAACAAATAAAGAACCCGAAGGAACCGACGTACTTGTCGTTCTCCATTCCCGAGGGCAAAATAAGTCATTGTACTCGGGACCAACACCCCTCTCCCAACATCCCTTGAAGATTAAGATGTCGTCCTTGTACCCCTTGTCCGAATCAGGAAGATGGGTTACAAGGTACATGGAGGGGTCCCTGGCTTTGAGGTAGAAGTGTTGGTGAGGCATGACTCTTAGGAGGGAGTAACAGAAAAGGAGATCATTGAGCCCAATATTCACCCCGAGGCGCCTATTGAGCTCTAAGACCCCCATGATTATTCGAAAGACGTTGAGGCAGCATTGCCCGGGGAAGAGACGAAAGCGAGACAGGAACTGAAGAAGCAGGGGGGTAAAGAAAACCTAATTCCACCCTCTATGATGGCCTTGGTATAGAAAGGCATGGCATCCGCGGCCCCGAAGGTAGGAGAGTTCAACAATGGGTTAAAATCCACTACGTCTACACTCGGGGGAATGCCGTACTTAACCCTGAACCTATCGATCTGCTCCTCGCCTTTCACCTTGTATTTCCCTGACCCCGAGGGACCAGCCGGTGGATTCTCGGGAGCAGGGCGACGACGAGGCATCTCTAAAAGAAAGGGAAGGAAAAGGTGTTTACTCTTGAAAACCTGAGGAAGTTCCCCGAGGGTTTAAATCAAGACGTACCGACCGGATGACACCACCGTTCAATCGAAAAACAAAAAGGCTAGGAGGACGATAAAGAAGAAGGTTGTGAAACTCACCCGAAACGTCGAAAATGGAGTTTTTCAGGAAAAACTTTAAAATGACTCGCACCGGAAAGACCAGGAGTCAACAATGGGTTTACTGGCTCTGTGATTTTGAGAGAAAAAGCAGTCGACGATGGCTGAGGAAACAAAAACTCCGGCGAGCAGATCAGGAAAGGCGTATTCTGGGTCAAAAATCGGAATGGCAAAACGATGGAGACCAGAGAAGAACCCCCTTTATATAGGGGGAAATTGTCATCATTGGGCGGGAGAACCAAAACAGCGCATTTAATGCGCACGACGTCCCAAGCCAGGGAAAGCGGCTCGAGGCCATAATGAAGGACGGATGGCAGTTGGGAAACCCTTCGTCTCCTTCCAACGCGTGTCCTCGGTGTCAGAAGATCAAAGGCTGGGGGGCAGTTGATGGGACTCTTCAGAAAAAGCCCTATGATGAAGACACGTGTCCTTGGGTTTTGGATAGTGTTGCTCGGATGTAAGCACCATCGGCTCGAGTAACCTCCCTCCGAGGTACCTCTCATATAGGATCATGCTTTCGGGGGTGTTATACAACTACAACAACACGTGTCCTCGGCAACCCATGTACCTCGGAAACATATCACTCCCGGACCCCGAGGTGAGCTTTTCCTCGGTGCCGAGAGTTACCCCCGTCCTAGACGCTTTACCCACTCAAGGGTAAAGCTACTGACGTACAGGTCATCAGCCTATGACAGTCTAGACTATTCATCATGACCTCGTCTCACACAAGTAATGTCAGAACATACTAGAATACAGAGATCGTAGCCAATACGTGATGGACGCGTGGCATATAATATCACGTCGAAGACAGACAAACCGGATGTTGTTGCTGACGTGCGCTTTGGGAAAGCAAACAATTAATTGCGCCATTCCCTTGATGAGACCGCATTCAATGCGGTAAGGCTCGGAAGCGAAAGGCAATAAATGCTCCTATTACAGAGCATTTATTGCTTCCTCCCCGAGAGGAGCATATTGTACCGTCGGCCTCCCGACGACTCAACATTCATTACTCGGGACCCCGAACAGTCAATTAGAGAAGACATTCCTCATCAAAATCAATACACACGCTACCTGTGCCTAATGATCACCTACTGACCACACTGACAGCAATCATGAGCTTTTAAGGTATAAATACTCCTCCCAAAAGGCGAAGCGGGTATGAAATCACAAACTCTCTACTACAACACAGACTTTCTCAGTGTTTTCTTCTTCCTCTCTCTCATTCAAAGACTGACTAGACCGTCGGAGGGGATACGCCGGAAAACACTCCGGCACCCTTCTAACTTGTTCCTCTTTATTCCAGGAAAACCTTCCACACATACAGGATCGTTCTTCCTTTCCCAGGAGCTTCCTTTGCCATTCCAGGTTGCCACCGTACCTTGCAGCCTGTGTCAAGCAGCGTGTTTGGCCACTCAACCGGCTCACTCAAATCTCACCAGGGGAGAGATCTGTTCCCGTTTTTTATATTGTGCAGGATCTTGCACGCACAATCTGATCAGGTCGCTAGTGGGTACCTCCTCCTTTGAGTGCAAGGGCTTATATGCGAGGGGGGAAGACGACTCTCTTCCGATGTGGGATTGCCTTAGGAAAGGGTCCTATTGGCGAAGAGAGGTAAAGGCTACTGGGGGGTCGCCCGCGTGGGTTAACCCAGGTCAAGCCGAAATCCTGAGTGGAGGGTTCTACCCCTTACAAAAAGGCGCCTTTTTGTAAGGGGTAGAAATCGCTACGGATCTCATCCCTCCACTTGAAGGATTTCGGCTTGACCTGGGTTAACCCACGCGGGCGACCCCCCAGTAGCCTTTACCCCTCAGTGCCCGCAGGAGCTTCGTCCCACATCGACTGAGAGTTGTCTCCCCCCCTCGCATATAAGCCCTTGCACTCAAAGGAGGAGGTACCCACTAGGCACCTGATCAGGTCGCTAGTGGGTACCTCCTCCTTTGAGTGCAAGGGCTTATATGCGAGGGGGGGAGACGACTCTCAGTCGATGTGGGACGAAGCTCCTGCGGGCACTGAGGGGTAAAGGCTACTGGGGGGTCGCCCGCGTGGGTTAACCCAGGTCAAGCCGAAATCCTTCAAGTGGAGGGATGAGATCCGTAGCGATTTCTACCCCTTACATTAACCATGCAATATTTGTCACCTTTCTACATGTCACAATATAGATTATTAAATCAATAAATTCCATTAATTTTATTAAATATTTAATAATTAGAATTATGTCACATTAAATGGTGCACCTGAGATAGTACATCAAGATGGTGTGCATATATTGTTGATTTAATATTATTCTTTACTGACATTATTTAAATTTTCACAATTTTTTTTCTTTGAAATTGCTGCAATTTCAGGAACCCAAAGGACCTAATTGAATACAACAATTAAATTGAAAATGACTTCCGCCAAACACTAAAATTTACAACTAATTCAATGTAATTAGATCCTTGATTAAGTTTTCAAATTAGATCTTCGTAACATTGTTGCTCTTTCTTCACAAAACTTTGATTAGTGTTAAAAATTCAATAAATTATAAGAGCTGCACATTGCCAATGCAACAGCAAAATGTGCTTGCTGGATTCAAATTCCTACTATTACTTTTTTTCTCGATGATCAATCATCTATTATGTATTAGTGAAAAACACACTAATTACAACACGTTCCATTTGAATTCACATTTCAAAATAAATAAAAATCAAAAATATATTAAAAGATATCCGACGTGGTATTTGCTAGTGACATTTTAAACAAAGTATTTTAAAGCCACGTTGAGGTTATCCTACTCACTAGCAACATATCTTTCTTCGGTAAGTACTAGCAACATATGCATCTACTAAGAAGTTTCCTACTCTCAGTTGTTTATGTACTGCAAGAGCATTTAAGAAGGTTCCTACTAGAGAGTGCATGTCTTCCACTTTCTTGATTGGCAAGAGGAAAAAATAGAGCACATTGGAATATAAAAAAAAGTGTACTTACTACATAAGACTTCCACCATTTTGGGGTCTGAAAAGAAATAAATATACGTAACCTTATCAATCTTACCGTTGTATCAAAGTCCGCCCTCACACAGTGAAATATAAAGGAAACAAAAATACCACAGGAGTGAGCAATATACAGAGACGGAATGAGTTCATTCTGAGTTGTTCATTGCCAAATACGTTAAATTTCTCTAACTAAACAATTCATATCTATATGTGGTCTGGGGCAAAAAGGAAGGCATATTATATAGCAAAATTGATACATAATTCCAACATAACTAAAGTATCGTCGACTTAGATAATCATGCTTCTCTGTCCAATGAGGCTAGTCCAAATCATTACGACCTTTCCTACTATACTCCAGTTTCCATGATTTCCACCAAAATACACCGTGAACATTTCTAAGGTCATCGTCGCTGCTGAACTTTCAGGACAAAGTTATGAAGTTGTTGAGCAATATCTCACAAGGGGTGATGGGTGTAACCAAATCACAGCTCTACAGTCTACTTCATGGACTTAAGAACCCGATGGGAAGAAGTTGAGACTTTCGCACCAAGACTACTCATAGAAAGCTTCTGAGAAGTGTAACTGGTGCTTACATGAAGTTATCTTGGACTAATTTCTTCAACTCTTCCAATTTTTGAATGATTTTTGGGTTCATCAAATCCCTAGCTTCCTTAATAAGAGTGCCTTCTCTGCTGAAATGGTAAGCATCCAGCACCGTTTTAATCCAGGTGTGCAGATGTTCTGGTGTGCTGTCAGTATGAACAAACTCTTGTCAGATTAAAACAGTCAAAAAGGAAAAGAGAGAAACAATCAAATGATACAATCCCAGAAGCTGGAAGTGATATCCTAGGGGAATTCCTAGCCAATCCATGAATGGATCACATCCTGCAATATGAATCACTGAGAAAGTAAACCATTTCAAAGGATTCAAGGGGTATAGAATTCATTTTTCTTATAAAGGTACCCACTAAATAATTTCACCATCGCACACTTTGGGAAATTGGTCTCCGTTCTAAACATTTTTGCATCTTATACCAAGTCTCACAAAATAAATGATTAGATGAATCCAGTTTCATATACATACGTGTATAGGCAGTCTACATCCTTCCCTTCAAGTTCTTCTCCAGGGGTGAAAGCATCTTTTAGGGCACACATTCTCTCTTCAGGATCTTCAATTGTAAGAAGATACTTGAGTATCCTAACCTCTTTAGGCATATTTCTCTGAAGATTACCCCTTGCTGTCATGTACAAATGATACAATATGTCTTTTACCTGCAAAAACCAAATCATAAATGATCTTATACCAAAGCAGCATTTATGCATTATACAAATGAATCATTACTTTTAGAAGGCAATAGAAATAAGTCCTTCCTCCCCACCCAAACCCAAAACAAAAAACATAAAAAAGGAGAAAACAAACCAAAGATATCAGTAGAAATAGGTTTTGTCATATGTATAAAAACTGTAGGATTCACAGTCATGGCCGCTGTCTCACTTTTTCCATCTTTTAAAAACATTGGCAAAAGTTCTTAGAGCAACTCTTATCACACAACAAAAAAGTGAAGAAATAGATAAATGTTTACTGACTTCATCCCAAGATAAAATATTAGTTTTAAAAATCATTAATCCGCACCACACAGACATGCAATCTTCTATTTTTTCCAGAACTAACCCGAGGCCAAACCAGAGAAATACATACACCAGATGTATTAAAAAATGCATAAAGATGAGCATTTAAAAGGCCAGGAGTCACCTTACCTCGTCTTTGGCCATGTTTGACTCCTTGGCAGCTGACCAAGCTTTTGTTATCATGAGTACCAGTGCCGAATCAAGTTGATTTTTCTCAGCCAAACTGTCTATCTTCCGACAAGCTGCATCTAAAGAAGGAGAATTGACTATATCTTGAAATTTCAACTCTGCAGCATTCAGTGCTTCAATACTTTCAGTTGCAGTATCATAAGCTTGTACAGAAGCCAAGCACCTATTCCCAAGCTTTGCCACATCTAATCATCTCATACAGAAAGAGATCTGGTATCAATATCTTTCACAACAATGCTGAGCATGTACAAAATGGACTAAATTATATGCTGTCCATTGTTTAGGCATAAGAATAAGGCTATTAATGCCAATCTAACTGAACCCTAAACAATTCTATCACTAGTACAATTCTAGTATTTCTATTTCTTAGCATTAACAGAGAACTGTAACCGTCGGCTCACCTAACTATTAAATTCTAATAAGGTTATATGCATTTACCATAGTTCCAGAAGAGTAAGTAAAGGGAGCTTTCCATGGAACAGCTTCAGTGGGCCGGTCCTGTGTACTTAATAGAGAAAAACTAAAAAATAATAATAAACCGACTCAATATCAACCAGACTCAATATCCATTTCATATTTCACAATCAGAGTGGCACTGGGCCCTGGCTGTCAAATGTAGGCTGTGCAATATCTAGGCCCACTATTAGCCAAGCATCTCCTGCAGCAATGTTGCCGCTAACTGAGATGTATGCACTAGAAACAATAACATGATCTCAGACCGACAATTTATTTCAGGGTTCCTTCATACTAGATTTTTTTGCAGCATTTTCTCCTGTTTTCTCATACACAAAAGCACATGGCAAATTCAGAAAGTGTTACTGATGATGGAAATCCTAATAATACATATGACTTGATGTCCACAATATGTTAGTTGGGTAACTGCCTAGACAAAGCATCAGAGCCAAAACCTATTAGCCCGACTGATGTTTCAACAGTTGTGGTCAACAAAGCAACAAGATTTCAAAGTCCAGTTCTTTCAACAAAAATAATTACAATTTATCAATTAAGAAATAAGGTAGGTTTTGGGATTGAGGATTAGTGATACAAGGACATAATTTTAAATGAGCATGATCTCATTCTCTTAACCATTTTTATTTTACTAGTCATTTTGCAATCAAAAAAATTTCACTGAACTATGTTAAATACACATCTAATAATTCAAGTAATTGCTTCTATAGGAATGGAATTTTCTTAGGCTATAGAAAATTGCTAGCACGAATGTATATCACCCAGATACCGAATAATTATGGGGCATTAAACGAGTCACAACATAAACAGCAAATCCTCGATCTGCCTTCTTCGAAAGAAAAAGAACCTTAATGGTATCTAAACAGAGTGGAATTTTGCAAGTTCAGATCAAATTCTCTGTGATCCAGACACATCTCCTAGTCTTTAAAAATAGCATACAAGTGTAAAGGAGCAGCATCATAGAAACTAAAGACCCGTTTTCTTCATGATTTCTTGACTTGATAATCATACATTGCATATACTTTTTGGTATACAACAAATGTCAATAGTCTGTAGCACAAAATGAATTTGGTTAATATGACATCAATCTGAAATAATTCCTATAAGTAGTGACAACACTTAGTAATGGCCAGGAAAGACTAACGAGGAAACAGTATGAACAAACGAAGGCAACAGAAAATGGAGAACATATAGTCTCACCATTTTGTTCTTGTGGATTGTCATAATAAGATTCTGCTACCGTGTGAAGATGTGCAAAAAATTCTTTTGTGAAATCTTTACGACGCCTAGAAACAACTTCACTGATCTCAGATGGTGCTTTTCTGATAACTTTAAGAAGTTCATTATGTCTTTGAACATCTTCATCAACCTGGACAAGAATATTACTTAGTGAATTACCAAATAAGCTCAAATCAAATCTAAGAATCAGCCAAGAAATAAAAGATACAAGAGAAACATCTTTGGATACAGGCAAATCAATCTAGAGACTGAGGTGACCCAACATACATCATCACAAGAAATCTAACTATATATACCCAGAGGCTGTCAGCAATAGAAAAAGGTCAAAGAGGAGCATATTTTTCCATTCCTTCATAACACACAATAATATTCTGGAATTGGTCAAAATACAACATCAAACTCCCTCTCGGATCCCACAATGGAACTCTTTCAACGCTCTGGCCATCCACATTCAACTAACTTTAAGTTAACAAGAAAAAAAGGTACCTCTGTCAGCTTTCTTCCAAGCCGAAGCAGCTTGTGCTTCATCCCAGGATCATTCTCAATATCTGCTCGGTCCTGACATCGCTTATAGAAGTGAGGCCGGATGTTGTCCCATTCCTTGCTGAAAGCAATTAATCTTCGCCAGTCACTTGGAGTTGGCTTGTCAACCATGAAAACCTCAATTAGCTTGTCACAAACACGAACCATTTTATTGTCATCCAAGGTTTCAATTGCTTCGTTGTGTTCCCCTTCTTTTGGAGAAGGATCCAGATTAGATGTGGGATCAGATTGTTCGGTAAACAACATATGTTCTTTAGTTGAATCATTTGGTACTGCCATTGTATCACCAACAACAGCCACAAGAGAGGAACGTTGCAGCCTCAATGTATGAAGTTGCAAATAAGAACCTGACATTTCAAAGCGAACATATTCCATTTAAGCAATCTGGCCACCAATTTCTTCTTTCCATCATTGAGAAAAATTAAGAAATATATTTAGGTAAAAGAGGACGACCATCCAATAGAATTTTCATGAGCATGACCAAGTAATCAACAAAATGGTATAGAACCGGTGCTTGTTTAGAAGCAAAGCATTGACACCCCGGACGAGAATCATTTCAACTTCCAGGCTTTTCATACTCCATTTAGATTTTGAGAAATCAGAGAAGTATTATGGAATCTTTTGCAAATAATAACTACAGCCCATTTTTATCTTGTAAGAATCCAAATACCATTAGCTTCACCTGTCATTTAACTATGCCTTCTTATATAATTATCTCCACTACCAGAATTTTAATACCTCTCCATATCTTTCTTTCCTCCAATTCAACAGTGCCCTATACTTCATCAACCCAAACCCATTCACAATACCCAATTTAAAACACTCCAATATCTAATATGTAGCAATCCCCAAAAGTCAACTAAGAGAATTACATCCAATTTTCAGCTTCAAAGACTACTATAGCAGAAACCAGCAAAGCTCGTTAGAATAAAAACCTCAACGTAATAATTAAACAAAAGTTTCTTATATACACACACATAAATATACTAATCATAACCAAAATACAAAGTTAAAAAAGAAAGGAAACGAGAGAAAAAGAAACTAAATCCAATGGACTTTGAATTGATTGAATGAAACTCGGGTAGTACCAGTTAAAACAAAGCGAGACTTACCTTTAAATTTGGAAGGAAAATGTAATGGACCTGGAACTGAGTTCCTGGTAAGAGAGAAGGACGGGGAGTGGTCTCTAGTAGTAGTTGTGGGCGATGGTCTGAATGAAACTGTACAGTATGCATTGAATGAGGCAGAGGCCAGCTCCATTGAATATGATACGATTGATGGTTTCTGAAGAAACGACTTGGTGTTCGACTCAGCTGTTGAAGTTTATTGGGATTTTTCTGGATTGATACAAGTAGGGTTTTGAGCAGAAGATCAGTTGGGGTTTTTTCTGGAACGATAGCAACAAAGGTCAAAAACAGGAGACCGCTAATACTATTTTTCTGGAACATGTGAATTGGACGGACGAAGGCCAAAAGACAAACGAGGGCAAATTATACTTTGTACGCCTAAAGTTTGTACCTGATTTTCATTTGGTCCCTGAACTATTAATTGAATTAATCAAGTCCTTGAACTTTAAAGTACATTTTCAATTAAGTTTTCAGTCTAAATTGATTAACAATTTTAACGGAAAAAAAATGAATCAACAGATACAATTGAAGAAGGGCTTAAATATGCAAAAATGAGTTAGCTCCTAATTGGGGCACGTGATACCTTGACATTTTTCTTTTTGAATTATTGACTAACTAAAAAGTTTTGGGACTTGACTATGGTACAATTTTTTGATTTTTTGGTACGGTACTGAAAAATTAATATCAACCGTAGATTCATCTGGCAACAAAATTAAGTCGTTGATCAATGCATCCTTTCAATTTTTTTTTCAAAGAGTATGTTTTACACGTGTTTATCTTTGCATCTCTCTGTAGTATTTTTTCTAATTTTTTGTATCATACTGAAAAGTGTGTTGGATGTGCCTTAGTCTACTCCAAGGATTTAATTGACATAGATTTAAAGTTGGACTTGATTTCTAATTAATAGTTGAATGACCAAATAAAAGTGAAATATAAACTTAAAAGATGTAAAATATAAGCCAAAAAGCAAAGAAAACGAAGACAATGGCTACAAAGTGAAGGACGTCCTAAAATAATTTATTCTATTTTTTGCCCTTTAAAGAAATTTAATTCCACGAAAGTACATTTCCCAAGATTTATACACTTCAACTTATATGACTCTGATCAAAAAAAAAAAAACTTATATGACACAAATGGATCAAAAAAAAAAATTATATGGCACAATCTTAATTATCAAATAATAATGTGGACACTAGTTACACCACCGAGTGGGATGGTTAAGTAGGGTATCAATTGATTTTTTCACCTTGAGGTTAAAAGTTTGAGACCTACGGTTTATATTGATGCTTAATGGTTGACTATTATGCTAGTCATAACTAAGTTCGTTTCGAAGAAGAATAATTGGAGTAGTTAGGGACCTCATGATCCCACATATCGAGGTCGTCTATGACGCTTTGTTTTGGCCCTAACCCCTTTTTTAACCAAAATAATAATAATAATTATTATTACTAGTATTTTTTGTTAGCAAGGTGCCACCTCACATCAAAGCTCAATTTGTTAACTGTACTTTTTTTAAAGTTTGAAAATTGAATAAAACATAAAAATATATGCATTAAAATATGATAATTTTTGTGGATGTAAGAATAATATATGTATTTTTCAGGAGTGTTGGTATAAATACTAAAAGTCACAAAACAAAATGCTGTCGTGCTCAGTAAAAGATCATCGGCGTTCGCCAACGGCTACCTCAACTTGAGCGTGGCAGAAAGCAACAGCCTTCTGAAACTGAAAATTTTCGTGGGAACTCCCATCTCCGAAACAATCAAGGCAAATGCTCTCACTAACATTTCTCTCACCAAATCTCACTCTATTTCGACCCCCTTCCCTGTTTGATATCAAACCAACTCAATCACCAAAACAAGAAAATTACTTTCGAGAAGCAGATAATAATGAATCTAAGCATACCCTCCCTTTTTCATGTTTTTCTTCCAAGTACTCATTATTTTCAATTACTTCTGCCAATTCTCATAATATCTCCACGTCCCGAGAGAACCCAAATGCCAATAATGCCACTTCGTCGGGTGTATCATTAAACGAACACCTGGTGAACGCGAAGGATTTTGCTGCTCAGCTCCAGTCTTCTTGTACTATATTACAAGTTAGAAGAATACATGCAGTTATTATTAAGTGTTTGAAAGACTCGAACACATTTCTTTATAATAATTTGATTTCTGGGTATTTGAAATTTGGTAAGTTAGTTGACGCTCGGAAGGTGTTTGATAAAATGTTGAAAAGTAATGTTGTTTCTTGGACTGCTATGCCTAATGGGTATTTGATTTTTGGGTTAGAAAATGAAGCTTTGAGGTTCTCTGATTTTGTTGTAAATGGGATTCGGCCAAATTCTAAGACCTTTGTGTGCGTTTTGAGTTTGTGCAGTAGGGGAGTGGATTTGGACCTTGGGAAGCAAATTCATGCATGTGTAATAAAAAATAATACTAGTAATTTGTTTATACCTAGCGCCATAGTGTATTTTTATGCGCAGTGTGGTGACTTGATGGGTGCATTCGGTATATTTGATAGGATGAGAGAGCGGGATGTAGTCTGTTGGACAACTATGATCACTGCTTGCTCGCAACATGGTTGGGGAGAGGAGGCTTCTGTGATGTTTTCCCAAATGCTATCTGATGGATGTGCCCCTAATGAGTTTACAGTGTCTAGTGTTCTGAAGGCTTGTGGGGAGGAGAAGGCATTGAAGGTTGGACGACAATTGCATGGGGCCATAGTTAAGAAGATATTTACAAATGATATTTTCTTAGGGACTGCGCTAGTGGATATGTATGCGAAATGTGGAGAAATAGAGGATTCTAAGACATTGTTTGATGGAATGAGGAAGAGGAACACAGTTACATGGACTTCTATCATAGCAGGGTATGGTCGGAATGGTTTTGGTGAAGAGGCCATAAGACTTTTTCGAGTAATGAGAAGACGAAAAGTATTCTTTGACCATGGTAGTACGCACGCATCCTTAGGGCATGTGGATTGATTAGGGGTGAGTCCACAGGAAATAAAGTACATGCACAGATAATCAAAAAATATGGTTAAAGCAATGAGAATTGCATAAACGGTGTCTAACTAAATTTACAACAAATAACCAAAATTAGTAAAAATTGAAACCGGGAGGTTTTAAATCTTCGCATCCCTATTGTGTAATAATGCTCTTTGTTTTTTCGTGCAATGATCTTTTAGCTAACAAATGAAAAATCAATAAAAAGGAAAAAGGAAATACTCCACTCAAATCTCAATTTACTATGCTACCCCTGATGAAGCTTTTGGATTAAATTTAATCTCAGAATTATTAATTATTAAGAGATCTTCTTTTGGTTATTGGACTTATGATAAATGAATATTAATGAATGTAATGATATTTGATGAAAATAATGAATATTTATTTTAATATATTTAATTTCTTCCCATTTTTTTTTTATCTATTTCCATAGCAATTTTTGAAACCCAACAAAATAATCGCCATAACAAATCTACTATATGAATACCTCTCCCTCCCGCTCTTTCTATCTCTCAAGTCTCAACTCTCAAGACAGTGTGACTCTCTTCCAAGAATAGTCTCAACTCTCAAGATAGTGTAATTCTCTTCCAAGAATTCGAGCAGATCCATTCCAGGTAATTTCACTCTCTCTCTCACCTTATGATTTTCATAACTGCAAAAAGATTACGGAAATAGAACTGATGGACTTGCATGGATGTCATGCATGATTATGTGTTTGTAAGTAAATGTGTAATAGAAATGACTATGTGCTTGAATCTCAGAGAGTACAATCTTCATAATATATATATATATATATAGAAGAGAGAGAATGAGAGAATCTAATAGAGTGTACTCACTACTCAGTGTAGTCTTCATAATATCTATTTACAAGGCGAGGGCGTAAATCACGAAGAACAGATAGAAGTAATAGCACAAATTTCCTCTACACGAAGATATTAATTATTTTTGAGTCCACGATCGATTGTGGTGGTGATGAGGACGGTCAGTTCTCAATTGTCGATCTGAGGATGCAGTCGTCCTAGTATTGTCTTGGTTGGAAATTGAGGCAGTAGTGTTAGGGTTACCGATGCCGGAGCTGGAGCTGGTGGCATTGTCGTCCTCGACGTGATCGGGACTCGCTGAGTTGCGGGTCATTTCGATTTACGTACAAATTGATTCAGTGGGAGAGAAATCGAAGAGGAGAGAGAAATGCAATTGGATTGGAACAGAGTTTGGGTTGACATGAATGAAGTATGAATGATTCTTGAATCTGTTTGCGTGTGGGTGATTTATTTATATAGGTGTGTGTGTGGCTTTCTTGAATCTGTTTGAACGTGTGTGCATGTTTTTTGGGTCGTTTGGTTAACAAAAAAAAAAAAGATAAAAATTGAAGTAAGAGAAAATATATTTTTATGCATGTATTTAGTTAGAATGAAAAACTATTAAGAAAATTTTAAAACAATTTCATTTCGTTGTTTTAAAAAAAAAGAAGTTATGAAAAAAAATTTCTAACTCGATCTGAACAAGAAAAACATATTTTTTATCATTCAAATTTTTAAAAAATTGACTCCTAACTTAATTCAGGAACAAAGATCGACCCGAACCTTAATTTCTAGACCAAATTATATGATTAGCTTACTTTGTACACATTTTTTTAAAATTAATAATTAATTGAATATTTTTAAAAAAATAAGGATAAAATAAGAAGTTAAGTTATTGAATATAACTTTCTTGTTTTTTCTTGTGTTTTTTGTAAGAAAAAAAAAGTTAGTTAGACGTAAGAAAATCTGAACATGAGAAAAAATTATTTTTTTCTATCATTTTTTATTTCATGCTAAACAAACGCCTGTAAAATTTTAAAATTTTATTTTTCTTGTATTTTTTAGCATTTTTTTACTAAACAAATGGATCCTGAATGAATTTTGCGACCGCGTGAAGTTTCTCGCGTTTGTTGGTGTTCTTTAATGTGACAGTGATGTGTGGACACCCTCTAATTTGACTATAGTTACACTTTACGGGTGATGCTTCTAGAGTCCAATTTATGATCATTTATCGATAATTTTGTACCTCAAGTTATTCTAAATAATAATTTATGATTATTTAGATTTTAAATAATAATTTTTTCTTTTAGCTCGACAGTTGCTATGGATAAATTTTATAAAACCCGGCTTTGCATTTATTATCCTCGCTGCCCATCCGGAGAAAATTGCGCAGTAAGAGTTTTAATAATTAGTAATTTTTTTGGTCATTATAATTAGTAAATTTTAACAAAGATGTTTAATTTAATTAATTAACACTGATTTATTTAATGCATTTTGCCCATGGGCAAAAGGATCGTGCCATGCAAATACTGGAATGGCCGGGAAGGATCGTGCCGTTACGGAGTTAGATGCTGGGTAAATCTATTTTCTTCCCTCTCATTTTTTTTTTTTTGTTATTTTCATTATTTCTTTGTAAAATATTTTTAAATTCTGCAGTATTCACACGGAGAGCAGAAGGGTAGCGGCTGTCAGTTTTTCCGAACAAGAAATATTTGTTATTATTTGGATGGCCATGGTTGCAGCTGTCCCATGGGTAGCCACCCCGTTAATCTCTCCTATCCATGTGTTTTAAGTCCTAGGTCTTTTATTGCTCTTTTGGTAGGTCTTTCTTCTATGTATGCCTGTTTCTTTATGTTAAAAAGTATACATATGCTTCATTGTTACTTTTCTTCTTTCTGATGCACACTTTCTCAAGTATGAGCATTCACTTTCTGCATTCATATCCTGCATCCAACTCTTCATTTCACAATTTTGATTTTGGATATGTTAACACCTGTATGTGGGATAATGATCTTTAAGAGTTCTAAGGAACTATTTTTTGATTTCTTTTGCAGCTGCTCCCGAAAAAATATGGCATTGGAATTCACCACGCAGCTGTTCATTGTGCTCACACAAGGTTTGCATGCATATACTCCCTTTTTTCCCTAGTTGTTTGCTTTGTGGATTGGTAATGAATGGATATGGTGGTTGCTACCAACTAAATGGATTTTTTTTAATTAGGCTGCCCTAAAGTGGAACTATTGAAATGCACTCTATTTATCTGCCTCATTGAACTTCAATTTATCTGGGAGCAGTAGGCCATTTGTTTGGCATGCTTTGCCTAAGATAATTCTGCGGATAATTATGTTTTATTTTTGATAATTCTGTGAATGGATATATGCTTTCAGAGAATGATTTAGCTTTTCTTTTCTTTCAGTGCGAGTTATTGTGATGTTGACGAGAATGGAGTACCACACATGGCGTTCTGCCGTGTCATTTTAGGGAATCTGCAACTTCTTCTTCATCATGGATCTGGACAATTTCATCCCAGTAGAATAAAATATGATAGTGGAGTAGATGATCTGCAAATCCAAGTCATTACATTGTTTGGAATATGAACATAAACACGCACAGAATTTGTTATCAGTTTCAAGATGTCTCACAGTGCTGAAGGTGCTACTTGATACCATTATGTTTTAAGTCTGATGCTTGATCTTTTTTGCAGCTCATGCACCCTCTTTGCTTCATCTATGTATTTGACAGGTCATGTGACTCTCATGTCATGAAAGATGATCAAATCATTTTTATTAATAATTCTTACATGGCAGTCTTAACTCCAGGGAAGATGCAATTTCCCTCCACCTGGAAAAGACCTCGCCTAAAAAGCTATTTGAAACATATGGTAGATCCAAATCTTATCATATTTCAAATTGAACCATGACTAAACCCTCCCCTTTTTTGCTTGAAAGAAAAACCATGGCTCCAAAAAAAATGGGTGTTTAATTGTATTTCCAGATTGAACCCCTTTCCCTCTAGTATGCATTACTTGATTTTTTTCAGAATCCCATCTGCACAATGGAAATTATTTGTGGTTTGGGAGTAACAGGTTGTGGAGAACTGAACCAGGGGAAAAAAAAAAATTCTTTTACCGGCGGCGGATTTTCCAACTTCTCTACCGACAAACAACAAATTTTATAGGCCTTTAAGTAAACACCAGTAATTTTCCTGATGCCAAAACAGACGACCCGACCCTCAGAACAAATATTGTGTTTAAATTTTAATAGCGTTTTGAGTGTGTTTTGTTAGACCCAACTCTAAGCCACCAGTTTTTTAGGTCATATTTGCAACACGTTGTTATGGTAAGCAGGTTTGCCATTAGATATTTTAACATAACATAAATAGATTATATCCAAATTAGGTAAGTATTAAGTTATTGTTATGGTAATTAGTGGGTTTGCCTTAGATATTTTAACATAAATAGATTGTAACCAGATTAGGTAAGTATAAGTTATTGGATAGTCCTAACCCACAAGGAAATTCAGCCATATAGTAGAGTTATTTTATTCTTAAAAGTATAATTTTGTTATATTTAACAGTCTTCTTTGATTGTAGCGGTAGATCTCATTGGCTCAGGAAAGTCTTGAGTATACGTTGGCCTTAGCCGGGTAGAATTTGGAGTCATAAGGGTGTCGTTTGATTGCAGTGTGGATTGTAAATTCATAACAAATTAAAACTTTCTAATTCAATTTTATACAATACCACAACCAAAAGAGTCCAATATGATTTGGTTAGTTATTGCGTAAGTTTCCTTTTAGAATTTGAAATCTTCTCCAAGAATCAAAACCTGATTTGGTAAGGAAAGGAAATTCTCTCCCCCTCCCTCTATCTATGTATATATATCCAAAGGCCCCATATCAATTTTTCCTAAGAAACCTTTTACAGTGCAAACAAAATATCGACCTTCTTTACCTCACCAGAGACCTTCTAGTCGAGATCTTCATTCGACTGCCGCAGAAGGAAGTTTTCAGGTCGAAGTGTGTGTCAAGCACTTGGAACCATATAATTTCAGATTCTAGTTTCCGTCGTAGTTATGTGTCTCGAAACAACAATTCTTCACTGCCGCTGGTGGGATTCTTCCATGGTCCTGTCTGCTTAAGACGTGACATCCTTGAAGATTTACCGGTTTCGCCACCCAGGCTCGCATTCCTTTCCACTTGTGATCAACAAGGAAGAGCAATACAGTGCTACACTTTCATCCAAAAGGTTGGTGTTTCACTTGCCAGTTCTCCCCAAGGTCTCATCCTTTGTGGCCGTCACAATAAGGCTTATCTCGTCTGCAATCCCATTAAAAACCAGTGGTTATCACTACCTAAACCGAGCTTGCGATGTAAAAGCTCTGGCAGTTGGCTTTTCGTGTTCAGAGGATGACATGATGAGTTTTAAAGTCATTCGGGCTTCTATTAGACTCCCACAAATTGAAGATAACAAGCTGCAGATTGAAACCTTCTCTTCTCAAACTGGCAAGTGGAAAACATCTCAGCTTTCTTTTCCATCCAAGTTTTCTTTGATTCCATACGAGAAGTGCGACGTGATGGGAGGGATTTTTTACTGGCGAGCCAAGGGAGATGCTGTGGCTGCTTACGATCCTGGAATGGGAAAAAATCATGTATGGTTGATGAGATTTCCGACTACTGGTTTGAATGGGATGGTTAGAGCTATGCGGGGCTGACACATGATGGGTTGTTGCAGTGTGCACTCTCAGATCCTGATGGAATAGAGGTCTGGGTTTTGAAGAAGAAGACATCGCAGTATAGTCTTTCCAGCATTATACCTCGCACCGAATGGGTCTTAACATATGCTTTGAACCCTGAAGACTTCTTGTTGCCGGTTTCAGACACCAAAAGCGTCAAACTGGGGGAGTTTTTCTGTCAGCAACCTCCTCCTCCTGGTTTTCCACAACGTCCTTTTATGTCAGGTTTCCATCCTCAAGATTCACGGATTGTCTATCTTCGACTGGATATTGTGATCTTCAGCTACAATTTAGAGACTAAACTCCTAGACGTTGTTCATTACCATGGAACCAGTTATCCAAGCTGTTTTTACGACTTATTCCCTTATGTCCAGCCTCTTTGGCCTCCTTATTTACCTCATTTACCATTCCAATCATGTCCCATTCAATTTGGATCATCCGTGCAACCACCTGCAGAACCAGCAGGCATCCCTTTCGTGGCTTTAATTTGAGATCTCAAGATATTGACCACCGAAATCCTGTGTTCCAAACTATCGTTACCGTCTAATTTTCATTTATTGAAAATACATATTTATATTGGCTTTTCTTTTATATGCAGTATTAAATTTCACTCTATGTTTTTGGGCAGTCTTGATCTTTATCGCAGTTTTTGAACATAAAGTTTATTTTCTAATCAAGAAAATTGATATGATGTCCAGTATTACTTGTAGATTGATGCGTTCAGCAGGGAACTTTTTGTTCCCAAGTAATCTCTGTTCAAATGCAGTGCACCATTACATGACCAGATAGACTTAATCTGGTACTGTATATTCAAAACTCCCGATTGAATCGTCTATTGCACATAATGCAGATCTTGTGCATCTAAAGGGTTAGAAAAATGAAGTGTCTATTGCATATTAAGCTGCTCATGTCTGTTTAAAGGGTTAGATAATGAAAAGAAATAATGTAGTATACGATTATCTTTCATAAAAATCACTGTGGCGGCAGGAAAGGCTAGTATATAATTCTTCTACTGTACTACAAAACTAAAAGTTCCCAGAGGGGGCTGAAATTTACTCAAGGTAATGACAAAATAGATTTTCCTTGATTTGAATTCTTGGCCAAAGCAGGTAGCTCGTGAATGGGACAGTAAAATGAATCACAACTTGTTGAATTAAAATGAGATGATTATTATCAAGTTGTTGAGAGGTAAAAACATACTGTTTTCATTGATGGTCTCCTAGAGGATGAATGCACGAGGCAGAGGAGTGCTGCAATCATCATTGCCTTCATCTCGTACTTGTTGCAGTCTTCGTTCAGGTGAGGATCGACTAGACGCTCACATGGGCCAAAGCTGAGTAGAGACCTTGCCTGCAATTCAATTGGCGTAGATGATTCAACTTTGAATTAGAAAGACTTGTATTATGTGTTGAGATAAAAAAAAAAATTTCTTTGTAATTCTTACCCAAAGAACTAAGCTTTCATGACTAAATGACTGGTTTGTTTGGATAGCCTCTTCTCCAGTGATCAGTTCCACAATATCCTTACTCCACAATATCCGATCGTTTGGCAGAAAGGAAACGAAAAGGGGAAAATAGAAAAGAGAACTCAACAAAATCAAATGGATCGAACTAGATAAATTGGAACATAAAGCCAGATTAAATGCATACACCTTAAAATGAAATGCATCTAGACTTCAACTTTGAATATCTACATAGTCAAACTTCATCTTCAACTTTTCAATATTAGAACACCCAAAGTTAGCAACAACAGAAAGCTGAAGCCAAAGTTGGTTGAATTTTCCAATTGTCAGTAGGCCTAAAGGTAAGAGAGCTGAAATGCAAGCATATATTCCACAAGGATTGCCTAGACAGGTAGCTACAGAATGATCAGAGCTGGCTGTTATATTATGGATTGCACAGCATGGCAGTCAAAGACCTGGGTTCTAGTCGAGATTGATAGATTAAAGACCACTCTGCATATAAGTTCAGCGAAATTTGTGGCATAATAAATCCATGTCACATACGTTCTTCCATTGTTTTTGTGGTTCTCTCTTCCCACAAGCTTGCTGGCACACTACAATTTAAGGCATAATGGTATAATGCATGTTCTTACATGTTCAGAAGTTGGTAAATTTTCATTCAGTTGAAGGTTTAGGCTCTGGGAATATGTTTAGAACAAACTACAAGATCAAATCCAAAGCATAGAAACAGATATGGAAATGGCATCTCCAATGTACAATAACTATTTATAAACAAATTCTTGAACTGATGCCTGTATATTTCTTGATTACCATGGCTATGCAATAACTCCATGCTTCAAGTTCTGATCCTAGCACTTTTTGAAATTCTGTAATGATTGTAATGTTAAAAGATTGCCAAGAACGAATTTTGTTCAAATCACCCTGACGGAACCAAGCTGGACCCGTTTTTCCTTCCTTTCTTTCTTTCTGATCTTGTATAGGACTTGTCAGATAGGGTTAGACAAGCTGAGGCCTGACAGGAAGTTTCCAAAAATTTCAATCACTTAGAGCACTCAGCTTCATATATTTCAAATGTGATTTACATTTTTCAGAGATCATTCCACAATGTACAAAATGTAGCTACAATCTGGATGGCCATCTACATTTTCATTCATAATTTCATATCCATAACTAGAACAAAGATCAACTTAAGTAAAGGCAATGCTCAGACGAAGCTTCTATGCTCCATTCAAAATCTCCACACGCACAAATAACTGTTGCAAGGATGTAATCATCCACCTCAATACCTTCTGCTTGCATTCGGTACATGAGCTTCAAAGCCTCCCCACAGAGCCCATTCTTTGCATATCCCACAATCATAGCTTTCCAAGAAACCAAATTCCGTTCTGGCATGCTATCAAAAACTTGGGTTGCCTCCAAAACATATCCGCATCTAGCATACATGTTAATTAAAGAGCTGCCCACAAACACATTAGACAAGGCAGGGGTCTTGTTTATGGAGGAGTGAATCAACCTCCCCTGCTGAATATCTTCTAGTTTAGCACATGCCCTCAAAGCTGATGAATAAGTGAAAGGGTTTGGGTCCACACCTTCCCCCAACATCTCTTTTAAGAATCCAAGAGCCTCATACTCATGCCCCAGTTGAGCACATCCAGAAATCATTGCAGTCCATAAAACAACATCTCTTAGGGAAATCTCTCGGAGGACCTTGGATGCAGTAGAGTACTCTCCACATTTGCAATAATGCCACACGAGAGTGCTTCCTATGTGGATATTGCTTTGACCATAATTTTTGATTATCTGTGCATGTACTTCCTTTCCTGTCGACAAAGCCCTAATCAATCCACATGCCCTAAGGATGCTTACCATGGTCAATTTGTTAGAGAATACTTTTCGTCTTCTCATTACTCGAAAAAGTCTTATGGCTTCTTCACCAAAACCATTCCGAGCATACCCTGCTATGATAGAAGTCCATGTAACTGTGTTCCTCTTCCTCATTCCATCAAACACTGTCTTAGAATCCTCTATTTCTCCACATTTCGCATACATATCCACTAGCGCTGTCCCTAAGAAAATATCATTTGTAAATATCTTCTTAACTATGGCCCCATGCAATTGTCTTCCAACCTTCAATGCCTTCTCCTCCCCACAAACCTTCAGAACACTAGACACTGTAAACTCATTAGGGGCACATCCATCAGATAGCATTTGTGAAAACATCACAGAAGCCTCCTCGCCCCAACCATTTTGCGAGCAAGCAGTGATCATAGTCGTCCAACAGACTACATCCCGATCTCTCATCCTATCAAATATACGGAACGCACCCATCAAGTCACCACACTGCGCATAAAAATACACTATGGCGCTATCTGTAATCAAATTACTCGTATTATTTTTTATTACACATGCATGAATTTGCTTCCCAAGGTCCAAATCCACTCTCCTACTGCACAAACTCAAAACGCACACAAAGGTCTTAGAATTTGGCCGAATCCCATTTCCAACAAAATCAGAGAACAACTTCAAAGCTTCATTTTCTAACCCAAAAATCAAATACCCATTAAGCATAGCAGTCCAAGAAACAACATTACTTTTCAACATTTTATCAAACACCTTCCGAGCGTCAACTAACTTACCATATTTCAAATACCCAGAAATCAAATTATTATAAAGAAATGTGTTCGAGTCTTTCAAACACTTAATAATAACTGCATGTATTCTTCTAACTTGTACGATAGTACAAGAAGACTGGAGCTGAGCAGCAAAATCCTTCGCGTTCACCAGGTGTTCGTTTAATGATACACCCGACGAAGTGGCATTATTGGCATTTGGGTTCTCTCGGGACGTGGAGATATTATGAGAATTGGCAGAAGTAATTGAAAATAATGAGTACTTGGAAGAAAAACATGAAAAAGGGAGGGTATGCTTAGATTCATTATTATCTGCTTCTCGAAAGTAATTTTCTTGTTTTGGTGATTGAGTTGGTTTGATATCAAACAGGGAAGGGGGTCGAAATAGAGTGAGATTTGGTGAGAGAAATGTTAGTGAGAGCATTTGCCTTGATTGTTTCGGAGATGGGAGTTCCCACGAAAATTTTCAGTTTCAGAAGGCTTTTGCTCTCTGCCACGCTCAAGTTGAGGTTGCCGTTGGCGAACGCCGATGATTTTTACTTGGGTTAATCTCATTTTACACCCTGAAAGATTGTTCGAATTTTAATTTATACCTTTAAAGATAAAAAATTTTAATTTATACCCTCAAAGATAGAAATTTGTATCAATGTGCACCCCAAAGATTAAAAATCTCAATTTACACCCTCAAAGATAGAAATTTATATCAATGTGCACCGCAAAGATAAAAAATCTTAATTTACACCCTCAAAAATAAAAATTTGTATCAATGTACACCTAAAAATTAAATTGATAAATTATACCTAGATCCCCTCATACTTGTCACTTAATCATTTAAACCTCTTCACATTTATAATATTACTCCTACATCTTATGACATTTGTGCACGTATAACACGTAACCCATTTTCATTGATATCTATTAATATAACCGTTAAAAAATATAATTTTATCCTAATAAAAAATTATAATTTCATATTACCCTTATGGATTTAATATATTCTAAAGTTCAAAATCTAGTGTACCATTTGAATGTCTAATAAAATGTAAATATTTATATAATATTTTTCATATTACCTAAAATATAATAAATTATTTTAGGACGTCCTTCACTTTGTAGCCATTGTCTTCTTTTTCTTTGCTTTTGGCTTATATTTTACACCTTTTTAAGTTTATATTTCACTTTTAATTGGTCATTCAACTATTAATTAGAAATGAAGTCCAACTTTAAATCTATGGCGATTAAATCCTTGGAGTAAACTACCATACATCCAACACACTTTTCGGTATGAAACCCAAAATCTTTGGCGACAAAATGTTGGAAAAAATATTACAGAATGATACATAAATGAACATATATAAAACATACTCTTTGAAATTTTTTTTTTTGAAGGATACATTGATCAATGGCTCATTTTTGTTGTTAGATGAATCTACGGTTGATATTAGTTTTTTGGTACCGTATCAAAAAATCAAAAGGTTGTATCGTAGTCTAGTCCTAAATCTTTTTAGTCGATCAATAATTTAAAAAGTCAAATGTCTTTTGTATATTTAAGCCCTTCAATAGTATCTGTTGATTCATTTTTTTTCCGTTAAAATTGTTAATCAATTTAGACCGAAACCTTAATTGAAAATATACTTTAAAGTTCAAGAACTTGATTACTTCAATTAATAGTTCAGGGACCAAATGAAAATCAGGTACAAACTTTAGGCGTACAAAGTATAATTTACCCTCGTTTTTCTCGTTGCCTTTGTCCGTCCAATTCACATGTTCCAGAAAAATAGTATTGGCGGTCTCCTGTTTTTGATCTTTGTTGCTATCGTTCCAGAAAAAACCCCAACTGATCTTCTGCTCAAAACCCTAATTGTATCAATCCAGAAAAATCCCAATAAACTTCAACAGCTGAGTCGAACACCAAGTCGTTTCTTCAGAAACCATCAATCGTATCATATTTAATGGAGCTGGCCTCTGCTTCATTCAATGCATACTGTACAGTTTCACTCAGACCGTCACCCACAACTACTACTAGAGACCACTCTCCGTCCTTCTCTCTTACCAGGAACTCATCTTGTTGCACATCTTCACACGGTAGCAGAATCTTATTATGACAATCCACAAGAACAAAATGGTGAGACTACATGTTCTCCATTTTCTGTTACCTTCGTTTGTTCATAGTGTTTCCTCGTTAGTCTTTCCTGGCCATTACTAAGTGTTGTCATTACTTATAGGAATTATTTCAGATTGATGTCATATTAACCAAATTCATTTTGTGCTACAGACTATTGACATTTGTTGTATACCAAAAAGTATATGCAATGTATGATTATCAAGTCAAGAAATCATGAAGAAAACGGGTCTTTAGTTTCTATGATGCTGCTCCTTTACACTTATATGCTATTTTTAAGGACTAGGAGATGTGTCTGGATCACAGAGAACTTGATCTGAACTTGCGCAATGCCACTCTATTTAGATACCATTAAGGTTCTTTTTCTTTCGAAGAAGGCAGATCGAGGATTTGCTGTTTATGTTGTGACTCGTTAAATGCCCAATAATTATTCAGTATCTGGGTGATATATATTCGTGCTAGCAATTTTCTATAGCCTAAGAAACTTCCTTTCCTAAAGTTGGATTACCGACTGGCTTGAATCTTAATAGAAGCAATTACTTGAATTATTAGATGTGTATTTAACATTGTTCAGTGAAATCTTTTTGATTGCAAAATGACTAGTAAAGTAAAAAAGGTTAAGAGAATGAGATCATGCTCATTTAAAATTATGTCCTTGTATCAGTAATCCTCAATCTCAAAACCTACCTTATTTCTTAATTGATAAATTGTATTCCCTTCGTTCCTAAATATCTGTCGTTTAAGGTTTTTGCACAGGAATTAAGGAAGCGCTATTAAATAGCTCTAATATTAGTAAAAAAAAATTGCACAAGGTTAAAATACCCTTATTCAATACGTATTGGGAAGAAAAGGAATATGAAAGGTACTTAGCCTCCACCTAATCTAATGCATTGAAAAGTTAAGGGTAAATTTGGAAGAAAAAATATTGATTATACTTTGGTTTCATTAAACGACAGATATTATGGAACAAAAAAAATTGTGTAAAACGAGAGATATTTAGGAATGGAGGGAGTAATTATTTTTGTTGAAAGAACTGAAGTTTGAAATCTTGTTACTTTTTTGACCACAACTGTTGATACATCAGTCAGGCTGATAGGTTTTGGCTCTGATGCTTTGTCTAGGCAGTTGCTCAACTAACATATTGTGGACATCAAGTCATATGTATTATTAGGATTTCCATCATCAGTAATACTTTCTGAATTTGCCATGTGCTTTTGTGTATGAGAAAACAGGAGAAAATGCTGAAAAAAAATCTAGTATGATGGAACCCTGAAATAAATTGTCGGTCTGAGATCATGTTATTGTTTCTAGTGCATACGTCTCAGTTAGCGGCAACATTGCAGCAGGAGATGCTTGGTTAATAGTTGGCCTAGATATTGCACAGCCTACATTTGACAGCCGGGGCCAGTGCCACTCTGATTGTGAAATATGAAATGGATATCGAGTCTGGTAGATATTGAGTCGGTTTATTATTATTTTTTAGTTGTTCTCTAATAAGAACACAGGACCGGTCCACTGAAGCTGTTCCATGGAAAGCTCCCTTTACTTACTCTTCTGGAACTGTGGAAAATACTTATAACCTTATTAGAATTTAATAGTTAGGTGAGCCGACGGTTACAGTTCTTTGTTAATGCTAAGAAATAGAAATACTAGAATTGTACTAGTGATAGAATTGTGTAGGGTTCAGTTAGATCAGCATTAATAACCTTATTCTTATGCCTAAAAAATGGACAGCATATAATTTAGTCCATTTTGTACATGGTCAGCATTGTTGTGAACAATATTGATACCAGATCTCTTTCTGTATGAGATGATTAGATGTGGCAAAGCTTGGGAATATGTGCTTGGCTTCTGTACAAGCTTATGATACTGCAACTGAAAGTATTGAAGCACTGAATGCTGCAGAGTTGAAATTTCTGATTCAGCACTGGTGCTCATGATAACAAAAGCTTGGTCAGCTGCCAAGGAGTCAAACATGGCCAAAGACGAGGTAAGGTGACTCCTGCTTTTTAAATGCTCATCTTTATGCATTTTTAATACATCTGGTGTATGTATTTGTCTAGTTTGGCCTCGGGTTAGTTCTGGAAAAAATAGAGCCTGTGTGATGCAGATTAATGATTTTTAAAACTAATATTTTATCTTGGGATGAAGTCAGCAAACATTTATCTATTTATTCACTTTTTTGTTGTCTGATAAGAGTTGCTCTAAGAACTTTTGCCAATGTTTTTAAAAGATGGAAAAAGTGAGTCAACGGCCATGACTGTGAATCCTACAGTTTTTATACATATGACAAAACCTATTTCTACTGATATCTTTGGTTTTTTTTTCTCCTTTTTTATGTTTTTTTGTTTTGGGTTTGGGTGGGGAGGAAGGACTTATTTCTATTGCCTTTAAAAGTAATGATTCATTTGTATAATGCATAAATGCTGCTTTGGTATAAGATCATTTATGATTTGGTTTTTGCAGGTAAACGATGTATTGTATCATTTGTGCATGACAGCAAAGGGTAATCTTCAGAGAAATATGCCTAAAGAGGTTAGGATACTCAAGTATCTTCTTACAATTGAAGATCCTGAAGAGAGAATGTGTGCCCTAAAAGATGCTTTCACCCCTGGAGAAGAACTTGAAGGGAAGGATGTAGACTGCCTATACACGTATGTATATGAAACTTGATTCATCTAATCATTTTTTTTGTGAGACTTTGTATAAATGCAAAAATGTTTAGAACAGAGACCAATTTCTCAAAGTTTGCGATGGTGAAATTATTTAGTGGGTTATTAGGCTTAATATGTGATACTTACCTTTATAAGAAAAATGAATTCTATACCCCTTGAATCCTTTGAAATGGTTTCCTTTCTCAGTGATTCATATTGCAGAATATGATCCATTCATGGATTGGCTAGGAATTCCCCTAGGATATTACTTCCAGCTTCTGGGATTGTATCGTTTGATTGTTTCTCTCTTTTCCTTTTAGACAGTTTTTTTAATTTGACAAGAGTTTGTTCATACTGACAGCACACCAGAACATCTGCACACCTGGATTAAAATGGTGCTGGATGCTTACCATTTCAGCAGAGAAGGCACTCTTATTAAGGAAGCTAGGGATTTGATGAACCCAAAAATCATCCAAAAACTGGAAGAGTTGAAGAAATTAGTCCAAGATAACTTCATGTAAGCACCAGTTACACTTATCAGAAGCTTTCTATGAGTAGTCTTGGTGTGCAAGTCTCAACTTCTTCCCATCGGGTTCTTAAGTCCATGAAGTAGACTGTAGAGCTGTGATTTGGTTGCACCCTTCACCCCTTGTGAGATCTTGCTCAACAACTTCATAACTCTGTCCTGAAAGTTCATTAGCGACGATGACCTTAGAAATATTCACGGTGTATTTTGCTGGAAATCATGGAAACTAGAGTATAGTAGGTTAGGTCGTAATGATTTGGACTAGCCTCATTGGACAGAGAAGCATGATTTTCTAAGTCGATGATACTTCAGTTATGTTGAAATTATGTATCAATTTTGCTATATAATATGCCTTCCTTTTTGTCCCAGACCACATATAGTCATATAGATATGGATTGTTTAGTTATAGAAATTTAATGTATTTGGCAATGAACAACTCAGAAAGAACTCATTCCGTTTCTCTATATTGTTCACTCCTGTGGTATTTTTGTTTCCTTTATATTTCACTGTGTGAGGGTGTGCTTTGATGCAATGGTAAGATTGGTAAAGTTGCATACATCTAATTTTCCTTAGACCCCATGAGTATGAGGCTCTTGGATTCTTAAAAGAGATGTTGGGGGAAGGTGTGGACCCAAACCCTTTCACTTATTCATCAGCTTTGAGGGCATGTGCTAAACTAGAAGATATTCAGCAGGGGAGGTTGATTCACTCCTCCATAAACAAGACCCCTGCCTTGTCTAATGTGTTTGTGGGCAGCTCTTTAATTAACATGTATGCTAGATGCGGATATGTTTTGGAGGCAACCCAAGTTTTTGATAGCATGCCAGAACGGAATTTGGTTTCTTGGAAAGCTATGATTGTGGGATATGCAAAGAATGGGCTCTGTGGGGAGGCTTTGAAGCTCATGTACCGAATGCAAGCAGAAGGTATTGAGGTGGATGATTACATCCTTGCAACAGTTATTTGTGCGTGTGGAGATTTTGAATGGAGCATAGAAGCTTCGTCTGAGCATTGCCTTTACTTAAGTTGATCTTTGTTCTAGTTATGGATATGAAATTATGAATGAAAATGTAGATGGCCATCCAGATTGTAGCTACATTTTGTACATTGTGGAATGATCTCTGAAAAATGTAAATCACATTTGAAATATATGAAGCTGAGTGCTCTAAGTGATTGAAATTTTTGGAAACTTCCTGTCAGGCCTCAGCTTGTCTAACCCTATCTGACAAGTCCTATACAAGATCAGAAAGAAAGAAAGGAAGGAAAAACGGGTCCAGCTTGGTTCCGTCAGGGTGATTTGAACAAAATTCGTTCTTGGCAATCTTTTAACATTACAATCATTACAGAATTTCAAAAAGTGCTAGGATCAGAACTTGAAGCATGGAGTTATTGCATAGCCATGGTAATCAAGAAATATACAGGCATCAGTTCAAGAATTTGTTTATAAATAGTTATTGTACATTGGAGATGCCATTTCCATATCTGTTTCTATGCTTTGGATTTGATCTTGTAGTTTGTTCTAAACATATTCCCAGAGCCTAAACCTTCAACTGAATGAAAATTTACCAACTTCTGAACATGTAAGAACATGCATTATACCATTATGCCTTAAATTGTAGTGTGCCAGCAAGCTTGTGGGAAGAGAGAACCACAAAAACAATGGAAGAACGTATGTGACATGGATTTATTATGCCACAAATTTCGCTGAACTTATATGCAGAGTGGTCTTTAATCTATCAATCTCGACTAGAACCCAGGTCTTTGACTGCCATGCTGTGCAATCCATAATATAACAGCCAGCTCTGATCATTCTGTAGCTACCTGTCTAGGCAATCCTTGTGGAATATATGCTTGCATTTCAGCTCTCTTACCTTTAGGCCTACTGACAATTGGAAAATTCAACCAACTTTGGCTTCAGCTTTCTGTTGTTGCTAACTTTGGGTGTTCTAATATTGAAAAGTTGAAGATGAAGTTTGACTATGTAGATATTCAAAGTTGAAGTCTAGATGCATTTCATTTTAAGGTGTATGCATTTAATCTGGCTTTATGTTCCAATTTATCTAGTTCGATCCATTTGATTTTGTTGAGTTCTCTTTTCTATTTTCCCCTTTTCGTTTCCTTTCTGCCAAACGATCGGATATTGTGGAGTAAGGATATTGTGGAACTGATCACTGGAGAAGAGGCTATCCAAACAAACCAGTCATTTAGTCATGAAAGCTTAGTTCTTTGGGTAAGAATTACAAAGAAATTTTTTTTTTTATCTCAACACATAATACAAGTCTTTCTAATTCAAAGTTGAATCATCTACGCCAATTGAATTGCAGGCAAGGTCTCTACTCAGCTTTGGCCCATGTGAGCGTCTAGTCGATCCTCACCTGAACGAAGACTGCAACAAGTACGAGATGAAGGCAATGATGATTGCAGCACTCCTCTGCCTCGTGCATTCATCCTCTAGGAGACCATCAATGAAAACAGTATGTTTTTACCTCTCAACAACTTGATAATAATCATCTCATTTTAATTCAACAAGTTGTGATTCATTTTACTGTCCCATTCACGAGCTACCTGCCTATAATCTTTGGCCAAGAATTCAAATCAAGGAAAATCTATTTTGTCATTACCTTGAGTAAATTTCAGCCCCCTCTGGGAACTTTTAGTTTTGTAGTACAGTAGAAGAATTATATACTAGCCTTTCCTGCCGCCACAGTGATTTTTATGAAAGATAATCGTATACTACATTATTTCTTTTCATTATCTAACCCTTTAAACAGACATGAGCAGCTTAATATGCAATAGACACTTCATTTTTCTAACCCTTTAGATGCACAAGATCTGCATTATGTGCAATAGACGATTCAATCGGGAGTTTTGAATATACAGTACCAGATTAAGTCTATCTGGTCATGTAATGGTGCACTGCATTTGAACAGAGATTACTTGGGAACAAAAAGTTCCCTGCTGAACGCATCAATCTACAAGTAATACTGGACATCATATCAATTTTCTTGATTAGAAAATAAACTTTATGTTCAAAAACTGCGATAAAGATCAAGACTGCCCAAAAACATAGAGTGAAATTTAATACTGCATATAAAAGAAAAGCCAATATAAATATGTATTTTCAATAAATGAAAATTAGACGGTAACGATAGTTTGGAACACAGGATTTCGGTGGTCAATATCTTGAGATCTCAAATTAAAGCCACGAAAGGGATGCCTGCTGGTTCTGCAGGTGGTTGCACGGATGATCCAAATTGAATGGGACATGATTGGAATGGTAAATGAGGTAAATAAGGAGGCCAAAGAGGCTGGACATAAGGGAATAAGTCGTAAAAACAGCTTGGATAACTGGTTCCATGGTAATGAACAACGTCTAGGAGTTTAGTCTCTAAATTGTAGCTGAAGATCACAATATCCAGTCGAAGATAGACAATCCGTGAATCTTGAGGATGGAAACCTGACATAAAAGGACGTTGTGGAAAACCAGGAGGAGGAGGTTGCTGACAGAAAAACTCCCCCAGTTTGACGCTTTTGGTGTCTGAAACCGGCAACAAGAAGTCTTCAGGGTTCAAAGCATATGTTAAGACCCATTCGGTGCGAGGTATAATGCTGGAAAGACTATACTGCGATGTCTTCTTCTTCAAAACCCAGACCTCTATTCCATCAGGATCTGAGAGTGCACACTGCAACAACCCATCATGTGTCAGCCCCGCATAGCTCTAACCATCCCATTCAAACCAGTAGTCGGAAATCTCATCAACCATACATGATTTTTTCCCATTCCAGGATCGTAAGCAGCCACAGCATCTCCCTTGGCTCGCCAGTAAAAAATCCCTCCCATCACGTCGCACTTCTCGTATGGAATCAAAGAAAACTTGGATGGAAAAGAAAGCTGAGATGTTTTCCACTTGCCAGTTTGAGAAGAGAAGGTTTCAATCTGCAGCTTGTTATCTTCAATTTGTGGGAGTCTAATAGAAGCCCGAATGACTTTAAAACTCATCATGTCATCCTCTGAACACGAAAAGCCAACTGCCAGAGCTTTTACATCGCAAGCTCGGTTTAGGTAGTGATAACCACTGGTTTTTAATGGGATTGCAGACGAGATAAGCCTTATTGTGACGGCCACAAAGGATGAGACCTTGGGGAGAACTGGCAAGTGAAACACCAACCTTTTGGATGAAAGTGTAGCACTGTATTGCTCTTCCTTGTTGATCACAAGTGGAAAGGAATGCGAGCCTGGGTGGCGAAACCGGTAAATCTTCAAGGATGTCACGTCTTAAGCAGACAGGACCATGGAAGAATCCCACCAGCGGCAGTGAAGAATTGTTGTTTCGAGACACATAACTACGACGGAAACTAGAATCTGAAATTATATGGTTCCAAGTGCTTGACACACACTTCGACCTGAAAACTTCCTTCTGCGGCAGTCGAATGAAGATCTCGACTAGAAGGTCTCTGGTGAGGTAAAGAAGGTCGATATTTTGTTTGCACTGTAAAAGGTTTCTTAGGAAAAATTGATATGGGGCCTTTGGATATATATACATAGATAGAGGGAGGGGGAGAGAATTTCCTTTCCTTACCAAATCAGGTTTTGATTCTTGGAGAAGATTTCAAATTCTAAAAGGAAACTTACGCAATAACTAACCAAATCATATTGGACTCCTTTGGTTTTGGTATTGTAAAAGAATAATTCTGGATAAAATACAAGATAAAAATATTACGTATTGTAATCTAATATTTGATAAGACACTAGATTAATAGTGAAATAATAAAGTAGTAATTACATATTATCTAAAAAATCATCAATTTTTTTTGATGTATATATCATTTAGAATATTAGTCTTTGGTGTACAATTTCTTGTAATATATAATATAAAATATAATAGATTTCAATAAATTTATTTGACGGTCTAAAATATATTCATCTAACGGCCACTAACATTTCTTTCAAAACTATTCATATTGCACCTTATCTTCATGCTTACCCCAAATTAATATATATGCAAACTCATTACGTAATTGAGAAAGCAAGTTGAGAGGCAATAAAGTATCCCCTCCTTCCTCTCATCTTGTCTGGTTTTTCACATTTTGCAATATAGAAAGTTCAATACAAGGGCGGTAAGGAAAGGCCATTGTAAAATAATCCGTTCTTCTCCTTTTTCACTTGCAAGTTTAGCACTTAGAAGTACAATAAGTGACGATACACAAATCTCTACATTTTATGAAATTTTAGAATTAATAAAACATATAAATATACTTAAAATTTTGGTTTGTGAATGTAAGAGTGATATATGTATTTTCAAGGGTCGGTATAGAGACAAAAAATTACAAAACAAAACGCTGTCGTGCTAACTGCCACGCTCAAGCTGAGGTGGCCAACGACAAATTCCGGTAATCTTTTACTTTCAAGAAACTGAGTCAGGTCAAATGCACAAGGCAGAAATAAGGGTGAGGTTATTTTCACCCTACAAATTTCTTTTCTCACCTTTATTAAATTCTAAATAATAATACTATTAAGTCTATTCTTTTTATATTCATCCCACTAGTAACTAAACTAACCACATTTTATACCTACCTAATAATAACTAAACTTTATACCAGCCTTCACCTTTAAAGTTTTTTTTACACCCCTATCTAACACAATTTATATGAAAGTATATTCAATTTGATTATCTCGAATAAACCTTTCAAGTGATATTTAAATTGGTATTTGCTCAAAGTTTATTTTATACCCTATCTCACACAGTTTATATGAAAATATATTCAACTTGATTATCTCGTATAAACCTCTCATGTGATATTCAAATTGGTATTTGTTCTAAGCTTATTTTATTTTGTTGTACACATTTTTTTATTTATTAATATCAATAATTTTCATTTAAGGTTTGTATATAATAAATATAGAGTTAAATACATATGTATATATATACAAAACTATACAAACTTAACATACTTTTTTTAAGAGAAATTTGCAGTAGGCAATTGCAAAACATTTTCCTCCTCATAATCGAACGCGCTGACATTGATACATATGCTTTTAGCTGATTTAAATCTTTTTTTTTTTTGGCAAATGAACTGCAGGATCTTAAACATGAACAAAAACTAAAAAATTATGATTATTTTTTACACTAATAATCATAATTAGATTAATTTACCAATTTAGCATGGCATAACTATGGATGTAACACAAAAATAATTGTTATAAATGATAAAAATTATTGTTTCTTTCATTTTGAACATATAACATGCAAATATTTAATTTTTTGGTGATAAGTGTAAATGTAATAAAATAATTCAGGCTTTTGACTTCTAGTAACATTATGTAACAACGTTAACAAAAGCCGTTTTGACTGAAATATTGTTCTATTTTTTTTTTTTTGTTTTAATCTTTGAATGTAAAAAGTGTTATTCAATGCACTACCAGTTGCCTAACATAGTTGACAATGATTTTGACCGAAATCAAACAATTATCCTCTAAATATTGAATTTTACCTCATGATTGATCAAAATTAGATTAATTAGCGTAAGTACCATGTTAGTTATGTGTTATTATAATTTGTAGAGTTTATTGAAGTGGAAATTTCAGATTAAAATGAAATTAATTTTCAAAATAACGCTATAAGTTTAAACGAATTTGCTTAGTTAGATCCAATTTTTAAAATTATAGTAGGTATTATTGGTTGGGATTATCAAATCAATTTATTTATTTTCTGCCATATTTTTTGGGTAGTAATGTCCTAAAATTTTGATCTTGTTGAAGAGGGATATTTTAAAAATATTTTATTTTCTTGTTAATGTCCTCATTGATCTTAGAATTCTTTAACAATGAGTTAAAATAAGAAAGTTTGTGACAAGTTTTAAATGTCAAGAGGTTATTTTTCAAATGTGAGGGGATACCCATATAATTTATGTCAACTATCATGGGTTGAAAAAATTAAATTACATCACACTCAAATATCCTTTTTATAATGTTATATATCTTAATTTAAATAATCTATAAAATTCTATTCAAAGGTATTTACTTTAATCTAAAAATAAATCACAACCTTGAAAAATATAAAGTCTAATTAATGTGCTTTGCATGCGTGCACCTATCTAGTTTTAATTAAAATTGCACAAGGTAAGTTTAGTCAATAATAAGGTAGGTTTAGAATGATGCGGAGTTAGTCATTAGTATGGTGGATACACTAGAAGTAGACTTAATAATTCTTAGGGGTAAGAAATGATATTTGTGGGGGTGAATTCCCCACCACCAAAACAAACATACCACTTGTTTACATAGAACCTCTCCCTCCCTCCCTTCCGCTCTCTCTCTTTCTAAATTCCTCAAAGAAACTGTAAGCAAGAAACCCCAGCTTTACGGACTTGACAAATCCAGGTACATCTCTCGCATGTCTTCTTGATGTGCATTGTATATGCTTGACATAGTTTGGTCCACTTGTATCGTTTCTAATTCTATACCACTTGTTTAAATAGAACCTCTCCCTCCCTCCCTCCTGCTCTCTCTTTTTCTGAATTCCTCAAGAAACCCAAGCTTTACAGATTAGACAAATCCAGTTACATTTCTCGCATGTCTTCTTGATGTGCTTTGCATGCTTGACACGGTTTGGCCAATTTTTATCGTTTCTAATGCTATGTAAAACTTTTTTAGTCATACATTTATGAATTATGAAGAAGAATAGAGAGTGAGAGAATCTAACATTTCTATATACAAGGCGAAGGCAAAAATCACAAAGAACAAACATAAGTAATAGCACAAATTTCCTCTACACAGAGATCTTAATAACTTTTTGAGACCAAGATGGATCGTGGTGGTGATGAAGTCGGTTAGTTCTCAATTTCCGATCTGAGGACACAATCATCCTAGTACTGTCTTCATTGGAAATTGAAGCTGTAATGTTAGGGTTATCGATGCCCGAGCTGGAGCTGGTGGCATTGTCGTCGTTGGCGTGATCGGGACTCGCTGAGTTGCGGGCCATTTCGATCTACATACAAGTTGATTTAGTGAGAGAGAAATCAAAGAGGAGAGAGAATGCAATTGGATTGGGGGAGAGTTTGGGTTGACGTGAATGAAATGTGAATGATTCTTGAATCTGTTTGTGTATGTGATTTATTTATATATGTGTGTGTGGCTTTCTTGAATCTGTTTGAATGTGTTTACGTGTTTCTTGAATGAATCTGTTTGCGAGTGTGTGAAGTTTCTCAGGTTTGTTGGTTACTGTGACAATGATGAGGGGACGACACTTTGGTGAGTATGCCTTTTTTTTCATGCGCCTCCATGCGTATGTTGAATTCACTCTCTAATTGGACTATAGTTACACTTTACGAGTGATTATTTATGGAGTTCGCAATAATTTTGTACCTCAAGTTATTCTAAATAATAATCTATGATTATTTAGATTTTAGATAATAATTTATTTAATTTTTTGTAGCTTGAAAATGGTTATGGATAAATATTACAAAACCCGTCGTTGCATGTACCATCCTCATTGCCTATCAGGAGAAAATTGCCAAGTAAGAATTTTAATAATTAGTAATTTTTTTTGGTCATTATAATTAGTAAATTACAACATAGATATTTATATTAATTAGTAAATTACAACAAAGATATTTATATTAATTAATTAACACTGATTTATTTAACACAGTTTGCCCATGGGCAAAAGGAATTGCGGAGGGGTCCTTCTCCTCCAAGCATGATGGAATACAAAACTAAACCATGTAAATACTGGAATGGCCAGGAAGTATCATGCCTTCACGAAGTTAGATGTTGGGTAAATCTATTTTCTTCTCTTTTTTTTTTTTTTGTTATTTTCATTATTTTTTTGTAAAACATTTTTAAATTTTGCAGTATTTACACGGAGAGATGATGGGCAGTAACTGTCGATTTTTTAGAAAAAGAAATATATGTTACTATTTGGATGGCAATGGTTACGGCTGTCCCATGGGGATCACAATAGTAACCACTCCGTTAAGAGATTGCAATGGATCCATTCTAAAGCTAGGAAGCTTTGGTGAGGAAAGGAGGTTAGAGTGGAGAGGAAGATGGGGATGGGAATTTAGTGGGGGAGAAGATGCAACGAAAGGGATTGAGAGCTTCCATCGTCGATCCCTACTGTTTTCTGATTTCACGTGCTATTAAGTTGATGATCTTGTGAAGAACAACAAATTTTAAATTTCGAAAATTACTTTCTTAGAATAATGAAAAATAAATTTTCACTAGCCCAAGAATTACAATCGAAGTTGAAGAAGAACGAAGAAAATAGAATATAACTCCAAAAATGAGGGATGAAAAAAGCCTTTATTAATATGGAGAAATTTAAGTTATAAATTTACAATCAAAAGCTTACAAAAAATAAAGTAGGAACAAGCTTGCAATGGTAATTGTTGTTGGTGATTTGGGGTGGTGGGGGGTCTATTTATAGGTGACTAGAGAAGGGTCTAAAAGCCCAAGGTAGGTAGAGATTTAGAATGTTCAAGAATTTTAACTTAGTGGTGAGAAGGTGAAGGTTTTAGATGTTGGTAAAAGGATACATAGTGCAAGCATGTTCTACAAGGTTCTAGATACAATAATTACTAAAAGTTTACTATAAACTTTTAACACTCCCCCTTAAAGTGAACTTTTGGAAATAAGTCCAAACTCTGCACGAAGATTCTCGAATGGTCCCTTGGAGAGAGACTTTGTGAAAATATCTGCAATGTTGTTCTTGTTCTGCACCACTGATACTTCAATTGTTCCATCAAGCACCTTTTCACGAATGAAATGATGCTCGATCTCAATATGTTTTGTTCTTGCGTGACACACCAGATTATTATCCAACTATATAGCACTTTGATTGTCACTAAGAAGTTTTGTAGGTTTATGAATAGGTGAAAACACATCCCCAACAAGCCGACGAAGCCAAGTGCATTCTTGAGCAGCAAGAGCGGAAGCCTTATACTCCACTTCGGTAGTAGAAAGTGAGGCCGAGTCTTTCTTTTTACTACACCAAGAGACACATGCCGAACCACAAGAAAACACATACCCAAAGGTAGATGTTCGATCATCCAAATCATCTCCTAGATCCGCATTCGTGAACCCAAGTAAAGAAAATTCAACCCCTTTCTTATAAAGAAGTCTCATGTCATAAGTAGTATTCACATACTTCAATATCCGCTTTGCCGCATCAAGGTGAGATTTTCGTGGCTCTTGCATATAGCAACTAACAAGCCCAACAGAAAATGAAATATCTGGTCTTGTAATAGTCAAATAAATTAGACTGCCAACAAGAGCACGATAAGGTTGGGGATCCGACAAAAGTTTACTTTCATCATGCCTAATTTTAAAGTTAGGCTCAAGAGGAGTGGAACAATACTTGTTTTTAGTTATTCCAAACCTATCAACAAGCTTCTTGGCATAACCTTCCTGAGATAGAAAAATCTCATCCTTCACCTTTTTCACTTCCAAGCCAAGAAAATGACTTAATTCTCCCAAATCTTTCATCTCAAATCAAATAAAGAGTTCAGCCTGAAGCTTTGCAACCTCTCGTTCATCATTGTCGGTAATAATCATATCATCCATATATAGTAGAACAATCATGTGTAGTGATCCTTGCTTCTTTACAAATAAACTAGAATTTGAGTTAGAAGCAAAATAACCACAAAATTGTAAGTACTCGGCAATCTTATCGTACCACGCCCTCAGAGCTTGTTTAAGGCCATAGAGAGCCTTCTTGACTTTGCACACATAATCTGGGTGAGTTAGAGAGACATAACCAAGGGATTGCTCCATGTAGATTTCCTCGTCAATCTTGTCATATAAGAAAGCATTCTTTACATCAAGCTGATATAACTTCCAACCAAGAGATGTCGTTAAAGAGATCACAACCCGAACAGATGTTATCTTTGCTACCGGCTAAAATTCTCTTCATAATCTTCTCCATATACTTGAGAGAAGCCTCTTGCAACAAGCCTTGCTTTGAATCTGTCAATGCTCTAATCTGTTTTTTTTTTCAATTTGTACACCCATTTGCAAGACACCAGCTTCACATCCTTGGGCTTTGGCACAAGATCCCAAGTTTCATTTTTTATAAGTGCGTGCATCTCTTCATCTATGGCTTCCTCCCATTCTTTAACACCTTTTGCTTCATCAAAAGAAGATGGCTCATTTTCATAAATAGTACCAATACTAAAGCAATGACAAGTGCTTACCAAATTACATATCGATAACGAATTGACTTAATGACTTGCCTTCTGGACCAAATCATTTTTGAAGCATTTGTTCCCTCCAAGTTAGCATTCTCCTCTTGCTCCACCATGCGAGAATTAACTATGTTCCCCCTATCACCAGACTCCCTTAATTTTGAAGAAGAAAGACTTTTGGATATTACTGGTGATGATGAGATACTAGAAGAGGCAAGAGTTGAAGAAGTCACTGGCAAGCTCATACGCAATTCTTCATGTTTTTTAATTGTTGAAGGAGCACTAACAGAGACACCACCGGGGCTATAGTAAGAGGAGATTTCATCAAACACCACATCTCAAGAAACTTTACATTTGCGAGTTTCAGGGTCCATGCATTTCCTTCCTTTTTTCCTTTCATCATAACCGATGAAGATACATTTTCTCGCCTTCGCATCCAATTTGGATCTTTGTGAATCTGGAATATGAACATAGCAAACTGAACCAAAGACCTTGAAGTCTTTCACATTGGGCTTCTCGTTATACATCATCTCATATGGAGACTTCATATTAATCGGGCTGAGAGAGATCCGATTAATCACATAAGCTGCACAAGCCATACCTTCTGCCAAAAGTACTTTGGGTAAATCTTTGGCATACAACCAGCTCTTGCACGTCTCGATGAGATGCCAAATTTTCCTTTTTGCTATGTCATTTTGCTGAAAAGTGTCAGCACAAGTAAGTTGTCTCCGGATGCCATGCTTCGAGCAAAAGATATTGAACTCCCGAGAAGTATATTCTCCTCCATTATCGATCCTCAACAGTTTGATCTTTCTTTGGAACTCACCTTCAACCTTCTCTTTAAATTCCATAAACTTGAAAATCACTTCAGATTTTCTTTCCATAAAATACACCTAAGTAAATCAAGTAAAATCATCAATAAAGACCATCATATAGCGATAACCAAAAAAGGTACGTGTACGAGTAAGACCCATTACGTCACTATGAATAAGATCCAATGGTGCCTTATATCTTGTTCGAGATCTATCAAATGGAAGGCGATGTGCCTTACCATATTGACAACTCTCACATAATTCTCCATTACCAAAGGTAGTAATATGAGGCAAACCATCAACCAAATTTTTATTCACCATGACTTTTAACTTATCCATATTTAGGTGTCCCAGTCTAGCATGCCAAAGAGAAGCATTATCATTTGTGCTCATTTTATCAACATAAGAAGTTGAAGCAGATAAAACAAATAAATCTTTAACTCTCTTATCGGTATGGACGACATCCCCTTCTACCTGGGACACATTCTGGAAAAACTTTACCTCGTTAGGCCCGAACAATACATAGTGACCGAAATCCACTGCATTAGCCACCGAAAATAGATTCTTTTTCATACCCGATACATGATACACACTCTTTAGAGTGATAGGATCACCATTGTTGTTGACGGTGATGGTACCTTCCTTCTCTACCGGATGAACTGTATTATCTGCGGTGATAATAGCCTCATTATCTTCATAATTTTAAAGACAAGAGAACTTGATGTCGTCCCCGGTAAGATGACGACCGCAACCGGAGTCCACGATCCGATTTTCCTTGAAGTTGATGGTAGCACAAACATTAACTGAGGTAGTTCCGCTGAAAAACAACTACCCCAATTTTCTTCGACCTCATTATTTGTATCAGCTACATTGCCACCCTTCAGCTTCACTTGACAATTTTTCCTGATGTGCCCAGTCTTATGACAACGATAACATTTGATATCGCTTTTGTTGCCATTCTCAATCCTTGATGGCTCTCCATCTCTATCTTTCTTTTTCTCCTTCTCTTTCTCCTTTCTATAAAATTTCTTATTTCTGAAGAACAAGGCATCACCTTGGGAAGATAAAGAAACCCCCGCCATTTGTTGATCTAGAGATTCTTGAGAAGAGAGAAGATTCTCAAGCTCAACAAGGTATGGCTCTTAAGCCCTCCCTTGAATAGAAGTAACGAAAGGAATGTACTCCTTTTTCAATCCACGAATAATATTCCATTTCATCTGCGCTTCCGAGATAGGTTCCTCTAAATTTCTAAACAAAGATTTTTAATTTTCAAGAAAAATTGAGAGATAGAGAGATCACCTTGAGTAGTATTTGCCAACTCATTCCCAAATATTGTAGTTGGGTAACATTTTTCTTGTTGAACAACCTATTAAGGGTATTCCATATCTTAAACACCGACTTACACCCAGCTATATGATCGAACAAATCATGAGAGATAGATCTCTTCAATACGAACTCCGCCTTTGCATTAGAAATCCTCCATTTCTTTACAGCATCGACATTGACATTATCTTTCGTGAGTGTAAGAGCCACCTTATCATCTCCACCAACAACTTCCCACAAGTCTTCTCCAAGAAGATAAGACTCCATGCATGACCTCCATACTTTGTAGTTAGATTGATTGAGCGCCTCAATCCAAAGGCTAACAACCCTTCCGCTTGAATCCATTTTTGGAACGCCAACGAACTTCTTCACTAAGAGTGCCTTGACAAGATTCCAACTTAACACTCTTATAACTCTGATACCATGTGAAGAAAGACAAATTCTAAATTCCGGAAATTGCTTGCTTAGAATAGTGAAAAATAAATTTTTACTAGAAAAATATCTCGAATGAGATACTGTAGTATTATTTTTTGCAGATGCAACCGTCTACCAGCATCCCTATCATGTTAAATTGGAACATTTCCTCATAATACAGCATTACACCTAATCATCCACACACACATTTGCGTTACTCAAACCTATACTGTGGGAGTGCTGGGGCCTAAGAGGAAAACTAGCTATTTAAAACTTGTCCATTCATTTTCTTCTCAAATTTTTAGTTCCGACCATTGTATTTAATGGATCATAACTATTGTTGCTATTGTCCCTGTTGTGCTATGCACATGGTCTGTCGACAGTAAGAGGTTATAGAGGATACGGAGCTGAACAAGGCAACAAGGTGAAGTGGTATTGTCTGTTAAATTATAAGGGCACTTCTTCTTTGATATTTTTGACATCTTGATTTCTCCTTATATCTTCTTAATTTTTCATTTGTGCCACTAGTTACCAATACCATATTTCCCCTTTTATGCTAAAATTTGGTATGGCGACCCATGAACAATTTTAAGATGCATATCAGATACTGAAAATCACCATTCAAATGTGCCAATAGAAAGGATACGTGCTTCATGGTCTATGTAGAGGAAATGATACTCATGCCTTTTGTAAGATTCCTCAAATCCATTTCTCCTATTCCGGGGTTAATGCTTTTTTGGGTGTTATATTCAAAACAGTTTTCTGTCTGTAATCCAGTACTTTGACAAACCATTTTTCATGTCACAGGAATTAAAGCAGGCAGGCAATTGCACACAGATTCTATATACATGTGAGTGTGAAAGGGGACCAGAAAATAACTTTTTTCCTGACTTATCAAATATTCCAGGGACAGATGTTATTTTTTTCTGCTCACCAAACAACCCGACTGAAAATGCTGCAACAAGGCTGCAATTGAAGCAACTAGTTGGAGTTCACCGGGGCATATGGATTCCTAATTGCTTATGACTCTGATTATGCTGCTTATATCACATCACAGATGGAAGCCCAAAATCAATCTTTGAAATTCCTGGTGCCAAAGAGGTATGTCAATGCCTTCCTTATTGGAGGCCATTTTTTGCAGTTTTTGAATGAAAAACGATCTTGTAAGATGGTTTTGGTTCATGCAGGTTGCAATCGAAGTTTCATCATTCTCCAAATTTTTTGGATTCACAGGTGTTCCCCTTGGGTGGATTGTGGTCCCCAAAGAGCTAAAATATTCGAATGGATTTTGTGCGCCTATTTCAATGGCGGAAATGTTGCCAATATATGTCTTTATCCGTAACATCTCAACCACGTGTTCTTATGAAGTCATGACTACAATATAAATTTGGAATACAAGTAGTAATGGGGGACCTTCCCATCCAAACTACCCTGATGGGTTGTTAAAACACCTCAAACTGTGCATGTTTTGGTTGTGAATGTGTGTCTTTCTGGCTACTAGCAAAACGGCTCAATCACTTTGAACTCTTGAAAGAAAATAAGGGAAAAGAACAAATGGATAAACCTCATTAAAATATGTCCAAAGACACTGCTTCCTAATATTGAACGACTCCTCAACAGTTTCAAATATGGAGAAATACTAAAAGACAGTTTCTTCCCATTGTGGCACCTTGTCACCATTAATCTCCCAAAGCCTAATACAAAGACTTTGTTCATGAAAAATGATTTGAGAGCAGCTCTTTGATGTAGGGGCTGAAATCCTAATCTCCTTTGTAAATAATAGCTCTTCACACAATCACACCACCAGACCAAGAGCTAATTATTATCCTAAATTTGAAGAATTATTAACACTTTCTTGTTCAAAATAATAATTTCATTTAGAATTCATTAAATTAAAAGACCAACGCATATGCACATATACCATCATTAATTGGCCTAATTTTAATGAGCCTATCATTATCAATTGCAACGATATAATGTAAGTCTATAAAATGAGGGGTCTCTGCTATTATGTTTATGAGAGCATTACATAGAGTGAAATTTAATACTGCATATAAAATAAAAGCCCATAAAGATGGTACCGGTAGTTTGGAACGCACAATTTCTGTGGCCAATAACTTGAGATCTAAAATTAAAGCCACCAAAGGGATGCCTGCTGGGTGTGCAGGTGGTTGCACGGATGGTCCAAATTCAATGGGACATGATTGGAATGGTAAATGAGGTAAGGAAGGAGGCCAAACTGGTTGGACATAAGGGAATAAGTCGTAAAAACAGCTTGGATAGCTAGTTCCATGATAATGAACGACCTCTACGTGTTTAGTCTCTGAATTGTAGCTGAAGATCACAACATCCAGTCGAAGATAGACAATCCGTGAATCTTGAGGACGGAAACCTGACATAAAAGGACGTTGTGGAAAACCAGGAGGAGGAGGTTGCTGATAGAAAATCTCCCCCAGTTTGTTTCTTTTGGTGTCTGAAACCGGCAACAAGAAGTCTTCAGGGTTAAAAGCATATATTAAGACCCATTCGGTGCGAGGTATAATGCTGGAAAGACTATACTGCGATGTCTTCTTCTTCAAAATCCAGACCTCCAATCTATCGGGATCTGAGAGTGCACACTGCAGCAACGCATCATGTGTCAGCCCCATAGCTCTAACTATCCCATTCAAACCAGTAGTCGGCAATCTCATCAACCATACATGATTTTTTCCCATTCCAGGATCGTAAGCAGCCACAACATCTCCCTTGGCTCGCCAGTAAAAAATCCCTCCCATCACGTCGCACTTCGTGTATGGAATCAAAGAAAACTTGAATGGAAAAGAAAGCTGAGATTTTTTCCACTTGCCAGTTTGGGAAGAGAAAGTTTCAATCTGCAGCTTGTTATCTTCAAATTGTGGGAGTCTAATATAAGCCCGAATGACTTTAAAACTCACAATGTCATCCTCTGAACACGAAAAGCCAACTGCTAGAGCTATACATCGCAAGCTTGGTTTATGTAGTGATAACCACTGGTTTTTAATGGGATTGCAGGCGAGATAAGCCATATTGTGACGGCCACAAAGGATGAGTCCTTGAGGAGAACTGGCAAGTAAAAAACCAACCTTTTGGATGAAAGTGTAGCACTGTATTGCTCTTCCTTGTTGATCACAAGTGGAAAGGAATGTGAGCCTGGGTGGCGAAACCGGTAAATCTTCAAGGATCTCACGTCTTAAGCAGACAGGACCATGGAAGAATCCTACCAGCGGCAGTGAAGAATTGTTGTTTCGAGACACATAACTACGACGGAGTCTAGAATCTGAAATTATATGGTTCCAAGTGCTTGACACACACTTGGACCTGAAAACTTCCTTCTGAGGCAATCAAATGAAGATCTCGACTAGAAGGTCTCTGGTGAGGTGTTCCATCTGGTTAGGTAAAGAAGGTCGATATTTTGTTTGCACTGTAAAAGGTTTCTTAGGAAAAATTGATCTGGGGCCTTTGGATATATACACATAGATAGAGGGAGGGGGAGAGAATTTCCTTTCCTTACCAAATCAGGTTTTGATTCTTGGAAAAGATTTCAAATTCTAAAAGGAAACTTACTCAATAACTAACCAAATCATATTGGACTCCTTTTGTTGTGGTATTGTAAAAGAAAGAATAAAAGGTTAAATATAAGATAAAAATAATGCGCATTGGTTTTAGGTAGGGTTAAATTTTGCTCTTAATTTCTGGAAACTTCTAAGTGTATACTTTAACCATTCAATTTACTCTATCTGAAATTGTTGTAATAATATAATTTGAATTTCAAATAATTGTTATCATTTAATAGCTTATTCACTAGGCAATCTGCATATTACACAATATAAATATCAACCAAGCACTCTAATCTCATGTACCAGAGACTATTTGTTTCACAACTAATTTGTTATTATCCAATGTGCATCTCTAATGTGCCTCTAATGATAATTTTAGAATCAAAACATTGGTTCGAATAAATTTTTAAAAATATATACTTCTGCCCATTTTGTAACTTTTTGAATAGGCGCAAACCCAATATCTAGTAGTATGTTATAAACGTGTTTCACTTCGATCATGTGCTAGTCAGTTAAAGACATTGTAGCCATTTAGTAAGTAATTAAAAAACAATTAATTGATCGTTTGCTACTAATATGGAACACCCTACTACTGAGGAAATTACAAGCTGGATTAAAAACTATTGCAAAGGCCATAGTACCACTAAGAGCTCCCTCCATAGCACTAAATTTTTTTTTTTTTTTATATTGTACCCTTAATATATTAAAAATATTATAATGTGATTTTTTCGTTAATTATTCAGTCAAAAATCACTCTGACAAAATTAGCAATAAAAATTAATATTTTTAATACATTGAGGCTGTAATGTGAAAATTTTAATTTTTAGGGGTATAAATAAAAATTCTTAAATCTTCTGGGGTGCCAAATCAAATTCGTTCTTTTCTTCTCAAATGTCTCCGATAAAACACCCTAAGCCCTAAATTGCTCAAAGAAGCTCCGTGTTTCTCCATTGTACTATTCGGGACGACATTAACTTACAGGTTCTCTCTCTCTCTCTCTCTCTCTTTCTCTCCCCACACATACACACAACCACAATGGCCCATGAACTCTGCACCATGTAATCGTTTATGACGTAGTATGTTAGATTTCATGCTTTTGATCTAGGCGTCTCTAGTTATATTTTCCTAACCCAAGTTTGCAAAGAGATGAATTTTTGAATGGTGAGCCTCTTATCATTTACTCACCAATCATTTTTCTGCTTTCACTAATTGGTCTCTTATTAATCTAAATTTATATCAATTTCAGATGAACCAAGGTTCTTATGAATCCCGTTTCGTATATAACTGATATTTTTTGACTTTTTTATTCTGTTGCCAAAATTATGATTTACTTGAATGGAAAACTGGAAATCTCTATTTGGACCTTTTTGTTTGTCAAGATGACAGCTTGAATTGAGTTATGATAAAACAAAGCTACACTCAAAAGCCTTAAATCATAATTCCTTGGGGTTCCAGCTCTTGGTGGAATCTAATCCTTCTTTAATTTTAGCAATCACAGCTTCAGTCTTAACTCCTTTTGGGCTTTTTTTTTGTTTTTTGCAACTTTTTTTGAGTGTTTTTATGGGTATTAATATTAATATTTATTCTGAATGGTGTGCCTTATTAATGAGGATATTGAAAGGTGGCAGCTAGCCTAGCTGGTAAAGCCTGTTGGCAGTCATACTAGAGACCTTAATATATCCCTCTTGCACTCAGGTTGGGAGGAGGATTTGGGCAAGGGAAGGCTACCCCTTTTTGCAGCAATTGTACCCCAAAGAAAAAAACAGAAAAAATAGAAGGAGCAGGTATTATATTTCTGTAGTTGGTATTGTTGCCCACAATGAGTCCTAAATTATTATGGTCTGTTGGTGTTTTGACAGGGTGATGGTAATTGATGTTGTTAAAGTCAGGTGTTTTAAAGGATCCAGTAGTCTGTCTATCTGCTATTGTTTGTTATCCAAGGATTTTTACTACTATGAATGAAGTAAAAGCAGATAATGCTTGTAATTTGTGTGCTCCAGTATCTGGTGGAGAATCTTTTGTTCAGCAATCTGTTCCAGTGAGTCTGAACAAGAGATGTTCATCTTCAATTCTTCAGTCAACACCTGAAATTGAAAAGAAGTATGTTCACCGTGTTTATGATGCAATTGCTCCCCATTTCAGTTCCACCCGGTTTGCTAAGTGGCCAAAAGTTGCCACTTTCTTGAATTCTTTGCCACCTGGTTCTCTTGTCTTGGATGCAGGTTGTGGAAATGGGAAGTACTTGGGCTTGAATCCCAATTGTTACTTTATAGGATGTGATATTAGTGCTCCTCTTATCAATATTTGTGCAGACAGAGGGCATGAAGTTGTTGTTGCAGATGCTGTAAATCTACCTTACCGAACTGGTTACGGTGATGCTGCAATATCTATTGCTGTGTTACACCACCTTAGTACCGAGTGTAGGAGGAAGAAAGCAATAGATGAATTAGTCCGAGTTGTTAAAAAGGGTGGCCTTGTGCTAATTACTGTTTGGGCAAGGGAACAAGAAGATAGTTCATTGATTAACAAATGGACGCCACTTACCGAGAATTATTTGGAGGAATGGATAGGACCAAGTAGCCATCAAATTCGTAGCCCCCCTTCATCCTTCACCCTAGAGAGCATACCAGAAGTTGAGGAGAATGGTTCGGGAGAGCACCTAAGAGATTTCAAAGAACTATCTTGCAGTATGAAGTCTCCAGGGACTATACACTTAGCCTCTCAAAGCCAGGATCCTTCTGAGAAAGGGAAAAATGGTGAAAACCAGCAAGAATATTTTATCCTTGGCACTTACCTTATCATCGTGCTGAAGTCAGTGGAGCTTCTGCTTGTGCCCTTGCAAATGGTTTGGCAACAAAAGATGATAAAAAGGGTGCAGTAGTGTACAATAGATATTACCATATATTCAGTGAAGGCGAGCTTGAAAGGTAATGCAGTTTTTTCCCTTGATAGTGATTGTGAACATAATTATTTCCTGCTCTATTTCATTATCAATAATTGTTTGCTGTACTTTTTTCATCGGGAATATATCATGCAGCTCGTCTTGCAACACATAAATTTTTAATCTTACTAAATTTTTTCATTTTACCTGACCATATGTACTACCCCATGTGGTTGATGGGCTATTATTTTACATATTAGGACAAAATCCTGATGCACTTTTGGCTCACATTTTATTTACTCCAATCTCTATCAGTTTAACCTTACCATGGACTATTAAGTGTTTGTGGATAGAATGGATAGTGGGAACATGCTATTTGGGATTGACAATGAAATATAAGCAGGGGCACGGGCAAAGATGTATCTGAAAATGGGGAGAGTATGTTTTCTGACTGCTGCCTAGGATGAGGATGTGTGGTTGTGGATTGGGTCATTTATGCTGTATGTGTCAAAAGATGGATTATGAAACAGCAGCCTAGTCTGCCTGTGCCAATTAGTGACCTTCCTCTGAAATAAAAGCAAATATTTTAAAATGAAGTTGTAAGTATGTAGTTTTGGGGAAAAAAAAAGAAAGGAAATATCATCGCCAATGAATCACTCACTTAGTTTTGAATTGATCTGTAGCTGTCTGTTCTGTTTTCTGAATCTCCTGATGATAGTAGAGACAATTACTTACTTGTGAAATAGACTTTCCGGCATAGTTATTAGTATCGTATGATACGTCACGACACACTTGAAAAACAATATGTATCGTGTCTCTGTATCGTTTTTGCATCGTATCGTATGATACACAGATACGATACATGACAATTCTGTTTTTTTATTTTTTATTTTTGATTTTTTGGGACTGAAATGACATTGTTTTACCCTATGACTTATTTTTAAATCACTAGTCAGTAAAATAACATCGTTTCAATAGTTATGGTTTTAAAAAAAAAAAAAATTAATATAGTTTGCTACTAATATTGTTCAATTGAATTCAAAATTCTCGACTAATACGAAGGTTGTTCAAGCAATTAATGTTATAAGTTTGAATTAGAGGTCTTTGCATTTTGATATTACGGAACTACGTTGGGAACTTTAATAGTTGATGAAATATTAATGAAGTGTTATGTTATTATGAGTCTATGACTTTTTTACAAAGATATATATATATATATGTCAATAATTATTTAAAAATTAAAATTTTGCGTATTTTTCGATACACCATATATACGATACGATACCCTATTTTTTAAAAATGATACGTCTTTCAATACACGATTTGACAACTATGCTTTCCGGGGGAGGGGGGAACACTTGTTGAATAGAAAAGGGAAGAGAAGGGAAGGGAAGGGAATCTACTATAGCAACAATACATTTCTATTTTTTCCTCTCCCCATTTTTTGAAGGTATAATCTCTCTTTCGAATATGCAACTATGGCTCTTTCCTTTTTTTGATATCATTTGACCTTCGAATGTCAAGGAGTTTACCCTAACAAACTTTTCTTGATTTTCCTAAATACCCCTCTGAAAACCTTCCATGAATACTATGGGTGGTGTGCATTCTGGTTAGACAATGTTTTCTAATTTATGGCTTTGATTGTTTTGCAATCTCTTCTACTTACTGCATGTGCCATCAGGTCTAAATGATCTAGTTATGTAACAGCTTCATATTTGCACTATTAGGAATCTGATGGATTGCTAATATTATCACATGAGCAGAAGGCTATATTATCAATAGTATCCATTTTTTTCCATTTCACCTCTGGGGCAGCAATCTTATGTTGACATTGTTTATTGATTTTTTCAGACTTTCCTTTTATGCATATGTTGCAGGTTAGTGTCTGGTATGGACAATGCGGTCGTTGTTGACCAATTTTATGACAAATCAAATTGGTGTGTTATTCTTGAGAAAAGATGACAACAGTCAGACACACATGAACATGGGCAACCAGAGTGGAATTTCGTACAATATCGTTTCATTTTGGCAACTAGGGATTCAATTTTCATGGGTAGAGACCCTGGTATAGCAACCTTTTCAAGATGATAAGAGTTGTTGGCAGACTACTTACCATGGCAGGGCCCAACCATTTGGGAAGAGCATCCTTGTATCAGATTTTCCAGATGTCATTTACTTACACCATTGGGCTATTACCTTTCTCGGTCTTCCCTGTTCTTTTTTTTTTTTTGGACCCCTGTGCTTTGGACCTGTTGTCACTGTACATTTTATTTCCTTTTGATGGGAATTTATACTGCTGAGTGCTGTCACATTGATTTTTTGTAGAACTTTTGGGAATTATGTAAATGGACCTCTTCAGAGAGGCACTTCAATCCAATTGTATCTTCCACTGCTGTGTGAAACCTATCATTTGCTATTGTTGTGCATCTACTTTTGTTGGTTTTCTCCGTTTGACGAGGAGCAGAGTTGTTAGAAGACTACTTAGCACAGCGAGGCACAACCATTCAGGAAGAGCTTCATTCTCGTTAATTTTCCTGTGTCATTTACCATTGGCCTATGCCTTTCTTTCTCCATCATTGCTTTTCTCTTTTTCAAATACTCTCATGCTCCAGACTTGCACTGTACCGTGGATGTCATTGAATTTTGTACATAATCAAAGCAAGCCAAATCAGATTGGCTGGAAGTGAAGGCAATCCGGAAAGTTAAACATTTTTGGTGGAAAGCTTGCAACAATGCCTTGGCTTCGGGAGAATCTGTTTAAGAGAAAATGCGATGAATCCCCTTGGTGCCAAATCTGTTCTGATAAGATTGAATCAGTTGAGCACCTCCTCTTCGAATGCGAGTGGACTAAGAAGAGGAGGTGCTCAACTGATCCAATTCCATTTCAAAAAAAAATCAGATCATCCATATTGCCCACTAATTAATGACTGCATGTTGCTTACAGGACAACCACAAGAAGCTCAGATCAAAGCAGGAGGTGAGGGAGACAAATCACTGTGTGGATCAACTAGCAAAGAAGGGAGTAATGGAACAAACTAGGCTGTTGCAAATGACTAGTAGTAACCCTTAGAACAAGCACTGGGCGGAGAAACTGGAGTTGGACCTTAGAGAAGTAAACTGCACCTGAGATACGGTTGATTGGTTCACCATGACAAAATTTAGTTCAACCTAATTATCCGACACGATTTGAAATGAAATTAACGGGTTTGAGTTTGATCTTAATGGATAAATTGCAATGTTTAGCTCTTGTAATTTTTCACAGTAACCACTCTTTTCGTCACCACAACCAACACAGTTGCCTTCACGCCGCAACCACCCTTGTCATGGTTGTAACCAACACCACCACAATAGTCACGATTGCCATCCAACCATCACAATCATCACAGACACTATCACTACTGTCATCACGAATGACACCTTCACAACCCCACCGCCATCACCATAACCATCACCACCATGACTACTACAGTCGTCAACACCACAGCCATTACTATCGCGGCCCACCACCACCACCAACATTGCACCATCATCGTTGCCACTACAACTGCCAACGTTACCATCTTATGGTGTTTGGGGGGTCTATTAATTATTATGGCACCCACAAGTGCTTGTTGATCATACAAATACACTTCTTCTAATATATTTTCTTTATCTTATATGGGTATTTACTTACGCATTGACTAGTTAGCCTACTCCTACATGCATGGGTACACTTCTATTTCTTGAATTTTTTTTTTTTTTTTGATAAATGAGAATAAGATTTAAGAGTAGGTACAATAACAAAAAACAATAATTAAAAGCATCCTAATGTAGCATGGAGGGGATGTGCATCCAAATCCACTTGAGCCTTTGTTGAATTTGGCAGTTGATCTGGCCGGAGTGGACCTGTATAACCCATAGCGAGCCCCCATCTTGCTAAATCATGAGCAGCACCATTTGCATCCCTACGTGTGTGTACAAATTCCCATTCTGGATGATACTAAAGAATGACTTTTATGTCTTGTACAATTGAGAGCACAGTCCAATGAGGTTTGACATGAGGGAGCATGATGGAATGAACTACAATCTGTGAGTCTCCTTCTATGAGCACATAAGACCATCGCTTGGCATGTGTCCATTCCATAGCTAGAGCTTCAGCTATGAGTGGGTCTGTTTCTGTTACGATCTGGAGTTCACTTCCTATAACTGATTCATCATGAAGTCTGGCAATTGCTGCAATATATGAATTCTTATTCCCTACTGTTGCATCAAAGTTAACTTTTGTAATTCCTTCATGAGGGGATCTCTAAAATTATGGTGGTTTTTGGATTGGTGGGGCCTTTGGATGGATTTTTAATTCTCTAAACTCATCAAAGGTCTTCAAAACTTGTTGGAGGAATTGATGTGGAATGACTAGTTGACTATTGTGAAGAGGCTTATTCCTCCAAGTCTAGGGACTATAAGTCAAGATAGCTGTGAATAGCAACAGTTCAGAGTAAGGAGGGCTATTGGGTCCAAAAAGGATGATGGGATGGAGGATGTTCTGAATCCATTCCTATAGACTGAGGTGAGAAAAGGAATCTGTACGAAGCCCCCATCTTGTGAACCAGACCATCCTAGGCAAATGGAAAAGGAAGAATAGATGTGTGGCTGTTTCTGGATATTGGTGGCATATGGGGCAAAGGATGCCTGGTATAAAAAATTTGCTTGCTAGTAAAGTTCTAGTTGGGAGACACTCTGTAGTTAATCTCCAAATGAATATTTTGTGTCTTTCATAAATAGAAGTCTGTCATAATCTCTTCCAGTCGCTTTTTGCTAGGTAGTGACTTTGTGAATCTTGCACAGCTTTATAAGATTTGTAGGCAGACTTGCAATCAAAATTCCCATTCCTGTTCGGTATCCACAATAGCTTGTCTTCCCTCTGAAAGGTTGGGATATGAATTCTTAGTATAGCATGAATGGTTTCTTGATTGAACAATGAGGATAAGAGAGTTATGTTCCAGTTGTTGGTGTCCTGGTCAATTAGTTTAGATACAAGGCTGGGAAGATTCTCTGATTCTTGCTGAAGATGGACTTTGAATGTTGGCAGATTAGGAATCCAAGGTTCTATCCAAATATTTATTGATTGACCATTCGCCACCATATAGCAGGCACCTTGCTCGATGATTGGTCTACACTCCAAAATTTGTTTCCATATTTGAGAATCTTGTGGTTGTTTACTGGTGTAAAAGAAAGAGCTTCTAGAGCAGTATTTCCTGCTCAACTGACTGGTCCTTAGCTTGTTTGGGTTGGAAATCAATTGCCATCCTAGCTTGGACATTAAAGCTTTATTCATATCAAAAGTTCTTCTGAAACCTAAGCCTCCAAATTCCTTAGGTGTGCATAATGAGTTCCAAGATTTCAATGTCAGTGTATGTTTGTCCTCAATATGACCCCACCAAAAGTTCTTGATTGTTCTATCCATCTTGCTACAGAGGTGCTGTGGCAATAGGAAGGATTGCATGGCATAGATTGGCATTGCCAAAGCTGTTGACTTTATTAAAGTTATTCTCCCTGCATAGGAGAGTAATTTGACTTTCCAACCCTGTAGCTTCATCTCAAGCTTCTGTAAGATTGGTTGGAATGATCTTGTTTTGGACCTCTTTATGAAAAGAGGCAGTCCTAGATAAGTAGCTTCCAAAGGTCCTTTTTTAATCCTTAAAATTTATTTGATGGGCCTGATTAGGGAGTGCTGGGCATTTGGGCTGTAGTGCACTCTGGATTTCTCATAGTTTATCTGCTGCCCAGACCATTGAGCATATGTAGAGAGACAATTTTTGATAGCTGCAGCATCTTTCTTGGTGGCTCTTGCAAAAATGAGGAGGTCATCTGCAAACATTAGATGACTGATAGGTTCGCAGCTTCTTGAGATTTTGATGCCTTTGAGATTTCCCAGTAATGTTTTCCTGTGAATTAATCTAGAACAAATTTCAGTGCAAAAATGACAAACAGTGAGGGTGAAAGAGGTTCGCCCTGTTTAAGTGTGAAGACCCTGGTCCATTACCGGACCCCTGTCTTCCAAGAGCATTCCTCCCATTACCGGGATATCCCGCTCTCCACCAAAGGATTTCGGCTAACCTGCGGGGCAAACTCCCACAGTAGCCTTTACCTCTGTCCCACATCGGGGAAAGAGTCGTCTCCCCACCCCCATATAAGCCGAAGCACCATATGAGAGCAGTACCCAAGTAGCACACTGTGGTACTTGGGTACTGCTCTCATATGGTGCTTCGGCTTATATGGGGGTGGGGAGACGACTCTTTCCCCGATGTGGGACAGAGGTAAAGGCTACTGTGGGGGTTTGACCCACAGGTTAGCCGAAATCCTTTGGTGGAGAGCGGGATATCCCGGTAATGGGAGGAATGCTCTTGGAAGACAGGGGTCCGGTAATGGACCAGGGTCTTCACATTAAGACCTCTTTGGGCATGGAAGTTTCCAAGGGGTCCCCCATTGATCAGGACTGAGAATGAAGCTGTGGAAATACATTGTTTAATCATATTGATAAATTGGTTAGGAAAACCAAGAAGCTTAAGAACTTGCAAAAGGAAAGACCATTCAACTTTATCAAAAGGCTTTGGCAATATCAATCTTTAACATCATTAGAGCACCTTTCCCTTTTTTCTTTTTGAATTGATGAACTATTTCTTGAGCCAAAATGGTGTTCTCTGCAATACCTCTACCTTGGATAAATGCAGATTGGTTTGGAGAGACGATTTGGTCTAACAGAGGTCTGATCCTATTGGCAAGGATTTTGGAAATTATCTTATAAGCAACATTACACAGACTAATAGGCCTATACTGATTAACTATGTTAGCCTTTGTGGATTTGGGAATGAGACAAATATTGGTTCTATTAATTTCAGATAGCATGTGTCCGCCAACAAAGAAGGACCTGACCATATTAGATATATCCCCTCCTATGGTATGCCAATATGTCTGGTAAAATATGGCAGACATACCATCGGGACCAGGGGCTTTGGTTGGAGGCATTGCAAAAAGAGTTGCTTTAATTTCTTCTGGTGAGGATATGACACAAAGATCCGGATGTTGTTCAGGAGTGATTATGGGTGCTATGAGGTCATCTAAGTGCTGGGGAAAGTGAGGATTAGATGTTGTGAAAAGTGTTTGAAAGTACTGCAGGAATTGGTTACCAATAGACTCCCTCTCTGTGATCCATGTTCCATCTGGAAGCTTCAAGAAATCGATTGAGTTCCGTCTGCCTCTGATGACTGTGGTGGTGTGAAAAAATTTGGTATGGGCATCTCCTTCTTTCATCCATTGGATTCTTGATTTTTGCTTCCACATCTCCTCCTCCCTTCTGAGTTGTTCATTAAGTCATGCTGCAAGATTTTGTCCTCCGCTATATTGTCATCAGTTGGTTCAGCTTGTTGTAGATAATCAATTATACTCCTTAGTGCCTTTGCCTTATGGATACAGTTTCCAAATACTTCCCTATTCCAATGCTTTAATGCTTGTTTA